AGTCATTCCACAAAACAGTTTAGGATTTAAGAACTCATTTAGACTACAATCTGAAATGTTTGCTCTATTCACATTCCCAGAAATTTGGTAGTGAAATTTCTTTGTCATTAGATGCACAATAGAATGAATGAATGAAAGAAAATATATTTTTCTTTGCACTGTTTCTTACATGAACCTTTTAATTAATATGGACTACCTGAGACATCACAGTTGGTTGGCTTTAGTACTCACTGATAATCATTGTTCTGGCATATGCTTTAGAATGTCTGTAACGTAGTTAAGCAAATGTGAGTTGGAAGGAACATGGAAAAATCAGAGTGTGATGAAATATGTCTTGCCCACTGACCCTTCATTTAGCATTTGCATAATGTGATATTGAAGAAAAATTACAAGAATATTGCTTTATAATGTTTCCCCAATTTTCTGTTACTCATAATACCCTTCTCACCTTCACCAGTAGTTACAACTTTGTAAAGTAATTTGGGGTGGTCTGATAATTCACTTGCAAAATGTTAATTGTGAATTGCCATGCTAAAGGTATCTGTTACATTTATAGATCTGACATTTGTTGACAGTAGTATAGTGGTGATTACTGTGATGTTTCTACCCCTGTATCTTGTCCTGTCACCTGCCTGATTATGTGTTGTGTTATTGTCTTGATTCAGTAGCTGTTGTTGAGTCCTCCCCCCCTGCAGATGGGCCGCCTGCTACACACATTGTCAATGAGGTTAGAACCTAATTTCTTACCATATCACCACTTGATCATGCTTGCTATTTGTTATGATGCCTTGTTCCTCTTTCCTCTCAACTGGCTTTTTGGCTTCCCATGTCACACCATTTGAAATGCATTATGTAATTACCAAATAGATTCCATAGGCTTCTATATTTGACAGAAATTTTATGCCCTTCCACATCCTGATGTGGTTTACCTGAAAACATTTTGTTCATGAAGTTTGTTGAATAACATCTGGTCACACTTTAAGTAATTAGTCATGCAATTTGTTTAGTGGTGCAGTTATGAATAGAATGAGCAGAACAGTTTACCAGATGTAGGCATCTCAGATTTTTATTTTGAAGAATTAAAGTAGCAGTCATTATAGTAAAAACATTTTTTCACTTCCTTGGAAAACAATAGCTTTAAAGGTCCATATAGTTCTCATTTTGGTGCTTTTTAAGAAACAAAAATTATTCCTTACAAGCATATAGGCACATATATGATCTTACCATACCAAATTCAAAATGACTAGCTGTAAATGATTGTAAGTACATCAGAGCATCATATCATGCCACATTAGAATGATCAACATAAAGGAGTATGTTTTGTATAAACTTTCTAGATTTTGTCATGAAATTTATAATATGGTCTCTGTGTTTTTCATTGGGAATCTGTGAGTACATTAGATGGCTTGAGTATTGTTTCTATCTCAAATGTAGACATGCCTACCACAGTGGAACATTAAAAGATAAGGGTTACCCATTTTTCATGGATTTTGTTGGTTGGTTTGTAGTTATAAAATGGCACTTTTTTATTACATGAGTTGTTTTGACATTCTGTGCAGATATGTCACATCTGCTTATAACATGTGGTAAACTGAGATCGCTGGGAAATCATTCCATTTCTCCCCATTTAATAATTGATTTTGTAATTGGTTGAAATAAAATCTATTTTGTTGTAAGGTGACTGCAACAAGGAAAACTGATTGAAACAATTTTGATTTTACTGTAACAAAATTTTGCTGTGATAGCACAGTAAATATAATTTTCAAATGTTGACAAAGTCTGACCTGTCTTCCACTTTCCATCAAGGTTCTGGGGTAATGCCTTTGTTTTCTTCTTGTTTCATGCTTGCCTCTTCTTGGCTCAAACATCAGTTACTGTGAGTAAGTACCCTGTCCACTTGCTTAGTCTCCACCTCTTCCTCCACAATGTACAAAGGTGGGAGTGTTTTGGCTTTTATAGTAGCATGTGTGCAGTTGTGTTTCATGTGACTACCATCAGCTTCTCCAACTAATTATTAATGATACATCTGTTGACCTCATAGCTGTTGCACGTAATAATACAACTTTTAAACAAATCTGTGCATAGTTTGTTGCCTTACCAAACCAGAGAAATTATTCTACATTTTTTCCGTATTGTAATGAAAAGTTATGCTGTTGGCATTATTGTAAAAGAAATTGCCTGAAGTGAGTGTCATAGTACATGCAGAGTCACTTTGATTTGAAGTTTTGTAGCCAGGTAGGTGTCACATGCTTTACATTTTGATCAGTGTGACAAGAAGAAGACAACAATATAACATGAATACTGCAACATACAATTTTAATTTCATCACCCTACCTCAAAGCCTCACAAAACACCTTTGTATGGTAGCAGTGATGACTTTAGTAGCACAAATGGTCATATTTGGACAGTGAATATATCTATAATGTATGCTTCTGTATACGTTTTTACAAGAGTAATTATACATCATTACAGGAATGATTATGTATTTATGTAAGTTAGCATGTTAGTTTGTGTCAGTATGAGAATTATGCAAATATTGAATCATGTTGGAAAGTAGTATGTTGCTTGGCATTTGCTCACATACAAACTGTGAAATGCTCTCTAACTGTGCTAAAAACACTTTATCTGTATTAACATTACCCTCTATTTAGTCAGTATAATAGCAGCAAAAACCTTAACTGAGTGTGTGTATGCAGTGTGTATATGTATGTACATGTGTGTCAGTTTTACTGACATTTATGAAACTTGTAGTACCTGTATAATAAAATGAACTAATTTTTTCTAGATTAGTCCACGCAAGGCACCACTAGCCAAAATGGAAGACCTTGAGATGGAGATTGCAGCAACAATATCTGCAAACATGTGACAGAGGCCTACTATTGTGTAATGGTTTCCTTCCACCTCTTCAGTTTGTGGCACCACTTACCCCTTCCATCCAACTTATTCATTACAGATGCCATGGCCTGTCCCTCCCAACAGTACTGACGCTTTACTGTGCCTGCCTTAATGTGGGGAGTGGTTTTGTTATTGTTAATTAAATAGGTATGTTGCTGTTGCACATATTGTATTTATTTGAACATTCCATGATTTTAATGAACCGTGACTATGAAATTATTTTTATTAATTGTGTTCCAGAGCAGCTTAATTTTTAAACATAATTTGCCAAGCCGCTACACTACATGGTATGGCCTTCATTAATCCTAAACTTACATAGAGCTTTTTTTCCTGGGAGGAAATGGAATAAGTAATTTTTCTGACAAATGCAGAAAGATATCTTTGTAAAAATATTAAAGAACAGTATTTTTTTGTGTTTAGTAATGGATGCTATATATTTTTTTAATGCATAGAATTTTATTTGTGTAAGTTTTATGACTTTTTGTATGAGACAAAGTTCTTGGTAGTCCACAGTATTACCATATTGTGGCACAGACTTGGTTACTGAAATTTTTAAATTTCCTAACTGCCATAGACTCATCAACTTGAGAAAATGTTCTGGGAATTTTTGGTGAAGGTTGATTTTTAAGTAAAAGTATTGCATACTTTTTCATCAGTGCAAATGTATGAATGAAAGTTGTGTATGTGTTTTTTTAATGGAGAATTCAACCAATCAGTCTCCTGAAATTTATATTTTCCATTTTCCTAATTACTGTATTTTTATTCTAAAATATTTGTGCAAGGCATGTTCTCTTTTCATTGTTTTCAATATTTTATTGTAAACTGGCCATTGTATTGTGTATATTAGTATACGTTGACTATGTGAACTGTAAAAGCATCACTTCCATTTGATCCATTGAAAGAAGTGGAAATAAAGATTTCTTTTGTAATTTATGATGATTTTTTATGTTTAATTCAATTCCTTTATTTCACATCTTCATAAAGATAGTCCTTCAGTATACATTTATACTCTGTTTACCACCAACCATACCTTTGAATTTCCCCCCTCCCTTTTTAAATAATAAAATTCCAAGCCATTCTTCTGGAAGTATGCAGCCAACCTATTCATGTGACATTATAATTGTCCCAAAGCATTTATTTTGCTGTTTAGAGTTGTGGCTTTTGGAAAGTTACATCACATTATGCAGGAAATGACAGCTCTGGGGGCCCATTCTTCCTCTAGTTTGGTGGGAACACAGCAGATTAACTCTGTGGTAACATCTTAACTTGAATTTGGGAGGTATTTAGATTGAATCCTAAACTGGAACTAGTAATACAGTTAGGTTACATGCTGTATGCTGAATTCTGCCAGATGTAGGGGTTAGATTTGAGATTCTCATGGCAGTGAGATGGCTGTCTTCTACATTGTAGCCCCATGTACTCTGGTAGAAGTTGATCGTTCAAGAGGTCATGGAGGCAGTAAGGACTACTGAAGCATTGGTAAACTTCTATGATGCTACATGGCACTACAACACAGAAGACATAAAAGTAAAGATAATATCATAATATTACGTTAGCTGCTTACATAATTCTGTATTTTCTCTTTAAACATTATCTTTCTGTTTGGTAATGACCTTGTGGTACAAGGACATCAGAAAAGTTGGCAAACTTCTTAAAACCCAGAATATTGCCACGAGAACTTCAAATAATACATGGGTCTTCCAAGTGTTCACACCCCCTTTTGTCTAGTTCAAAAATTTGGTTTGTGTTTTATTTTTCTGGCGACCGTTTTAAAGAGAAACTTAAGTAGATGTATTTCCACTGACTGAGTTGGTGGCCTCACAAATTGTCATTTGCTATTATAGATGGTAAAACCAATTTCCTAATCCTAGTTTTTTGCACTGGAGTTCAACGTTTACCATCGACTCTTGGGTTATCGGTATTATACACGAACTCATTTGTGCCCTAAAGTGGATCAAGTTTTTCAGAGACAAAGTGTATGGGGGCAGGAGGGATTTTGAAGGTTGAAGAGTAGTTAACATTCTAACTGGCTGGGCTAACTAGTACGCCAACTTAATGATTACTTGTAAATCGCTCACAGGTCGCAGCACAACAGGCACAGCGCTATGTTGCCCATCAACGGCAACAGAGTTACGCACCTGGTTGAATCTGTGGTCGCCGGTTTTCGGCGAAGGAAGGGACAGTAATTCCATTTTATGTAAACAGTTGGGTAATTGTTTTGTTTCTCGTCTACTTGTTCATTTTTATTTGAAATGAGCGATCATGGTTGTATACATCTGAATAATTTTAAAGCTGCAAAAGGGATCCAGCCATACCGTATAATTCACACGTATTTTGTTGCGTGCACGACAGCTGAGGCCCGAAGTAGAAAGGTGTGTATTGCTCTTGAGCGTGATCAATAGGAATATATCATTAACAGTGGAGCAGTAGATAGTGATGCGAACATTATTTCTAGATTTGTGTTCGTATTTGTAGTTGCTTTGTCAAATGGTCATTTGATTAATAATGCTTTTAAATATTTTGGCTGCCAGGATTTAAATGTTTTTTAATCGTAGGATTATTTGAATATTAATCTGTATCAGTGAATTTAATATTACTTCTCTTTGACCCTCTGTTTCAGGCCCTTGCATGTTTTTGTCATGTATGCAACAGTATTGGATCTCGCCTACATTCATGTCTCCATTGTATTTTTTTTGGTTGTTACATTGGTGGACATATTCAAGAGCATGCAAAACTCAAGAAACATTTCTTAGGTATGAACAAAGAAAAGTGGTATTCTTTTATCATGTAACTTATTGCAGTTAGTTTGATTCTTGCTGCACTGTATTGTACCCACATTTGATATTCTGCGTCAGGTAGGACCCAATTTATTTTAAGTGATAACATTTATTTAAACTTATTGCTGAATGAATGGCATAACTCATTTACTTAGTTGTGTTTGCTTATGTATGAAAAATATGTAAAATAATGTAGAACCTTGCCATCATCAGTTGAAATTTTATTTTAGAAAGGATGATTTTTGTCAGGAAAAATAAATTACATTCAATAGAAACACATTAGTTTCGCAGTCTTTGAAAGTGCTAAAAATATGAGATCTAACTGGTAACAACCTAACCAAATAACAAATTTTTACGTAGCTTTATACTTCCATAATGCTGGGTACATTAAAAAATATAAAGGACTACTTTGGAACATAGAAACATTAGTACTCCTATAGGAACCCTTTTTCTGGAATAATTATTTCCAATCCTACTTACTGATGCTTGAGTATGCTCAGAATGGATGTCTTTATTGTTAATGTTTCTGACACAGTCACTTTTACAAGTACGTAAATGAAGCAGTGATGTCCCCACACAACTAAAATATACATGCACATTATCACTAAATAATATCAAGCTTCATTTTTGAAATTAGATCATTCTTTGTTTCTGTTGAGTGTGTCAGTAATATTTTTAAATAAAGCCAACAGTTGCATGGATGAAAGATTTATCAGAATGAAATCATAATGCTTGGCTGCTATGTGGAATGTATATATATAGTTACTGATGACATTAGGTATTATGCCATATACCTCTTTACAAAAGAACATATCATTTCATTATCTAACAAAGAAAATTATGGGTTCTAGTAATTTGCTTTTTCTACTCTTATTCATGATATGTATCACATACATTAATATGAGTAATGGGCATTTTCCTTCTCAGCTGTCGACCTTGCATATGGAGCCGTATTCTGTTTCCAGTGTGGTGATTATGTGTATGATCAAGAATTGGCAACTGTAGCTCGTGAGCATCGACTAAAGGCAGCAAAGTCACTTGGCATGCCAACTGTCTATCATTCCTGGGAACCAAGTCGTTATGAAATAGAGCTTCTTCGACGAAATCCACGTAGGAGGAAACTAATTAAAAACACTACAGTAGGTGAGATGTGGTTGAAAGATACGCATTTCTTTTTATAGGTTTTAGAGGTAAGTAGTTGTTGGTCATGGTATAGTGTGATCAAAGAATCAGAGAAGAATTAACTATAAATTTGATCATGCTTTTGTGTGTGTTACTGACTTGTGCAGTTAATTTGTTTAACATCTATTTTTCTGAATAACAGGTTCAGTCAGGTTTGATAACAGTGCAGGGGTGATTTGATACAGTTTAGAGATTTCAGAACTTGTTTTTCTGTTGACTGCTGTTACATATCTGTTCTGTAATTTAGAATTTGTCTGTAGATATTAATGTATGGAATTTTTTTTTAGGTCTTCGTGGTCTTCTTAATTTAGGTAACACTTGCTTCATGAATTGCATTGTGCAAGCCCTCATTCATACACCACTCCTTCGAGATTTCTTCCTTGCTGACCGTCACCTGTGTCAGTTTCAAGATGAACCTGGTCGATGTCTTGTGTGCGAAGTGTCCAGACTGTTTCAGGAAGTATGTTTCATTGGTATTGACTTAAAAATATGCATTGAACAGTATTAACCACTTTAAGTCACCACAAAGGTTGATGTAGATGTAATGCTGTAGGCTTGTAATCAAGAGTTACTGAATTTGAATCTCAGTCACACTATTGGCTATTGTGAGGTTTTTCATTGTTTTCAGGTGAATGTCAGAATTGTAATATGCATTTTATGATAATTTTTTTAATCTAATTCAGTGCTTGTATAACCTCTGCAGTTGCCTAGTAATCAATGTATCAACCATGGACAAATGCTGAAATCTCCTAAGGTTGTACAGTCATGTGCTACTGATTGTGTACAAAAATTTGTTTATGTGGGAAAAGGAAAACAGTATTTTCTACCTGAAACATAGGAGATACTAAACCCTTTCAGTTCTAGATCTTTTCCTCTCATGCTTCATCCCATAGAGGTGAGTGTCACAGAACAACACAGTTCTTCAGTAGCGCTGACATGTTGCTGATCCCTTGACAATGTTCTTTGTCACTGGCATCAAAAGGTTAAAAAATGACAACCTATTTAGTTTGTTCAGCTGATGCCTAAACTATTTTCTGTAATGTAAAACCTTCTATATATTATGCTACTAATTGAAAGTTAGGACGTATTAAATTTGTGTTTATTTCTTTAACATACATGTCTATCACATCAGCTTTCAATGAACAAACTCTGTATTTTCCTACATAATTACAAGAGGAAGACTTTTTCCCAGGAATACTCTGTATGTTTGAGTCTCCCAGAGAAGAAATCAGGGCTCAGCCTTTGCACCTACTGGATAAGTTGCAAATTTTGTAGTGATAAAGTGGAATAATCTGTGTAGTTTGACCTGGCTGAACCTCCTAATGTTAAGTACAATATATATCAACTTACGAAGACAGACAAACTGAATGTTGCAGCATAGTAGTTTGTACTCCTGCTTTGTATTCTGGAGGTTGAATGGCAGTCCAGTGATAGCTGTCTATTCTGACAGGTTTTATATTGTTTTTGACAGCCCCACCAGCCAAATTCTGGGAAAATGCCTTAAAACAGACCCAACTATTTTCATTCATACATTTAATTCTGTCTTCAAACACTATAACTTATTCATTTGGAAAAGTATCATTGAATAAATAAAGATGAAATCGTTATACTTAAGTCATATAGTGATGACAGGCATTTAGCACACTTGATTTTTGAACATAACTGAGAGAAGTAGTTTATGCATTTTAGTTCTACTCTGGTAATAAGGCACCCCTGACCCTTCATCGCCTGCTTCATCTCATCTGGACACATGCACGGCACTTAGCAGGCTATGAACAGCAAGATGCACATGAGTTCTTTATTGCTGCCCTGGATGTAATGCATCGCCACTGTAAGGAATCCAACCCTCTTCCAACTACAAACCCACACCATTGCAATTGCATTATTGACCAGATCTTCACTGGAGGACTCCAGTCTGATGTTGTATGCCAAGCTTGCAAGTGAGTATGTCAGAACAATTTTTAACACATTGAGTGCCATAAAATTTTCCAAGAAAATATACTATTTAAAAAAGTATACCATGACTTATCACTAAATATGTATTTTAGTATCAGTATTGTACATGAAGTTTGAAACTTCATCAGCAGCTATAGCCAATTTTTAAAATGGTGACATTGAAATGTAAGTTCATCAGCAAACACTATTTCATGAGTTAAAGATGCGAGAATTATTTTGGTTAACACACTGAAATAAATCTCCAGCTCATCATCATACTAAACATATTCTTTTGGATAGTGGACAGCCAGCAAATTTTTACATCTCTGAATGTTTCCTAAGTGCTTATGTATTAGATTTCTCTATTTTAGTGGAGTGTCAACAACAATAGATCCATTTTGGGACATCTCTCTGGATCTTGGTCCATCACCAAACTCAGAAGTTGAATCTGGAAATAGCAGCAATGAGAATCAGAGTCAGTCTTCTGACCTGCAGCAACAGGAGCAGGATCGCACATCGTTAGTGGATTGTCTGGAGAGGTTTACACGAGCAGAGCATCTTGGATCATCTGCAAAAATCAAATGTAGCAAGTGTCAGAGCTATCAGGAGTCAACAAAGCAATTGACCATGAAGAAGTTACCTGTAGTTGCAAGCTTTCATCTGAAAGTAAGAAATTAACTCCTCTTTCTTCATACAAATTGGATGATAGATAGGATTGTGGTATTTTGGGTTATGACATGGAATCTTGTGGGTGGTTACCAACATTTAGGAGGAGCTTGTTGCCTCCGTCTTCAGAGAGGCATTTAGTGCCCCCAGAATGATGATAACCACCGACAAGACAAAACATCATTATTGCCTAGAAGACACAACCCAAATTCTCACAGCTATGAAAACCTCATATCTTATATGAAAAATTAATGCTTTTTCTGTGATTAACAGTGGATCTGAACTGGCATTTTAACCAGCTTAGTGACATCTAACATCTTAGTACTTCTTCTGCATTACTTAAAGTTTACTATAATTTATGATTTCAGATTTAAGGTGGATGTTTTGCATAATTTGAATGAGGTAAATTTATTTAAGCTGAATCAATTTTTATTGTTTAATGTTATTAAAAGTAATAATTCAGTTGATGCCATGTTAAATTAAACAAATTGTTTGTTGGTTCTCTCCAGAGATTTGAACATTCCAATCACTTCCACAAGAAAATAAAGACATTTGTGGCATTTCCGGAACATCTTGATATGACACCATTCATGTCACACTGTCGGAACCACAATAACAACAACAATATCAACACATTCAGAGGCCTCAATTCTGTAACTGTACCTGATAATAGGTAGGTTTTTTGTAGTATAGGTATTAAACGTGTCCTATTAATACTCAGTCTATAGTAAATGACTGAATAGCAGTCTTGTCAGTGGTTAACATTGTTTTGGAGGAACATAATTCCCCTGTCTTCAGGGTAGAAGTATGTTCCTCCTCCAAAGTGTTGACAACTGCCAACAAGACACAATGTCAAAACCCAGAAGACCAGAATCTGCAATCTCACCACTGAAAATTTCAAATCTCAACCCATAATCTTATTTATTTGTTTGCTTTCTTAATTACTTACTTTAATTTCATGCTTACAGTTTATGTGAAATTGTGAATCTTTCATCCATTACTGGGTTCTGGGTCTTTTTCTTACAACTTTTATTTTGCTGTAGGTACTCATTATTTGCTGTGATAAACCACATAGGTTCCTTGGATGCAGGCCACTATACTGCATTCATTCGTCAGCAGCGTGATCATTGGTTCAAGTGTGATGACCACCTCATCACAAGGGCAAATCTCCAGGAAGTTTTGGACAGTGAAGGGTCAGTACACAGGCTGTCTTATGCACAGTGTAATGAAATTGTGTTTTAAAGTTCCTGTACTTAATGTTTACATATACTATTTTCTGTCCTAATTGGATATTAATACTATTTACCTGAATATGGGTTGACCTAAAACATCTCCATAAAATGGGATTGAAATGGAAGAAAAGGTAAAAATAATGAAAAGGAAGTCTTTAACCTGGTATATTTTCTGTGGTAATATATTTTTTCACAGCTGCTCAGTTGTTAATTCTGCGAAGTTTGTCATCATTGCCTTATAATTTGTTTTGCCTCATATTAGAGGTGGTGTAGAATGTTTCCATGTTTTTGTATCAATTTATGCTTAAGTTGCATTGTACACATATATTCACCAAAGTCGAGCTTGTTGCCTCCGTCTTCAGAGAGGCATTTAGTGCCCCCAGAATGATGATAACCACCGACAAGACAAAACATCATTATTGCCTAGAAGACACAACCCAAATTCTCACAGCTATGAAAACCTCATATCTTATATGAAAAATTAATGCTTTTTCTGTGATTAACAGTGGATCTGAACTGGCATTTTAACCAGCTTAGTGACATCTAACATCTTAGTACTTCTTCTGCATTACTTAAAGTTTACTATAATTTATGATTTCAGATTTAAGGTGGATGTTTTGCATAATTTGAATGAGGTAAATTTATTTAAGCTGAATCAATTTTTATTGTTTAATGTTATTAAAAGTAATAATTCAGTTGATGCCATGTTAAATTAAACAAATTGTTTGTTGGTTCTCTCCAGAGATTTGAACATTCCAATCACTTCCACAAGAAAATAAAGACATTTGTGGCATTTCCGGAACATCTTGATATGACACCATTCATGTCACACTGTCGGAACCACAATAACAACAACAATATCAACACATTCAGAGGCCTCAATTCTGTAACTGTACCTGATAATAGGTAGGTTTTTTGTAGTATAGGTATTAAACGTGTCCTATTAATACTCAGTCTATAGTAAATGACTGAATAGCAGTCTTGTCAGTGGTTAACATTGTTTTGGAGGAACATAATTCCCCTGTCTTCAGGGTAGAAGTATGTTCCTCCTCCAAAGTGTTGACAACTGCCAACAAGACACAATGTCAAAACCCAGAAGACCAGAATCTGCAATCTCACCACTGAAAATTTCAAATCTCAACCCATAATCTTATTTATTTGTTTGCTTTCTTAATTACTTACTTTAATTTCATGCTTACAGTTTATGTGAAATTGTGAATCTTTCATCCATTACTGGGTTCTGGGTCTTTTTCTTACAACTTTTATTTTGCTGTAGGTACTCATTATTTGCTGTGATAAACCACATAGGTTCCTTGGATGCAGGCCACTATACTGCATTCATTCGTCAGCAGCGTGATCATTGGTTCAAGTGTGATGACCACCTCATCACAAGGGCAAATCTCCAGGAAGTTTTGGACAGTGAAGGGTCAGTACACAGGCTGTCTTATGCACAGTGTAATGAAATTGTGTTTTAAAGTTCCTGTACTTAATGTTTACATATACTATTTTCTGTCCTAATTGGATATTAATACTATTTACCTGAATATGGGTTGACCTAAAACATCTCCATAAAATGGGATTGAAATGGAAGAAAAGGTAAAAATAATGAAAAGGAAGTCTTTAACCTGGTATATTTTCTGTGGTAATATATTTTTTCACAGCTGCTCAGTTGTTAATTCTGCGAAGTTTGTCATCATTGCCTTATAATTTGTTTTGCCTCATATTAGAGGTGGTGTAGAATGTTTCCATGTTTTTGTATCAATTTATGCTTAAGTTGCATTGTACACATATATTCACCAAAGTCAAGTTTATTGCCTATTTCAGTAATCAAACAAAGAAGTGACCTATCATGTTTGAAACTTTCATGAGACACCAACAAGAAAGGGAGTGAAAATGTTGATTACTGAATTGTTACTGCTGTTATCTATAGCCATTTTGGCTTTGGAATGTTACTTGGGTGCCTATATCATTTGACAGCCTGAAATAAATATAATGACTGACTACAGATTTTCTCTTATTTTCTCTAGCTACCTGCTGTTTTATCATAAACAAATCCTGGAGTATGAATGAATCGAAGGCAGACTGGTGGAGTGTTCAGGAAGGTGCTGCTAGTTACTGAATGTACTTGCAGTCAGTGTGGGATAGCCATGGAGGCGGCTGTGGCTTATAGTTTTAATGTAATACGCTTATGTCTTCTTGAAACTTGTGAATGAATTATGGTGGTCACATAACTTGTTGGTAGAAGTTATATTTATTGCTAATGTGTATATAGGATCCTGCTTGTTTTGTATTGATGGAAACAACATTATTCAGTATTATGTCTGTGTCTTGTAAATGCCATTTTCATCTCAATAGAGTATCAGCTTATTACTATAAAACTGCCATAATTTTGGATTATTGTGGTTAGTATATACTGGAATTTCACGTTTTGGCCTAGATGTTGTATACATTATAATATACAAGACGTTCTTGTTCAGAATAACTTCAACTGAAAATGTGCATCAAATGAGGAACAAATGAGTTATTATTCTAAGTGCATAACTTTTTGATCGCATCTTTCTTATTTTACTTTCCTGATGTTTACTATCAAATCTTTGCTGTGTGTAATTTATTCTACAAACAGTGAATTCATCTACTCTTGGAGCATACTGGAAAACAGTGAAAAAATTATAATGTTTATGACTCTTGAGATGAGGTGGAGTAGTGCAGTCAGTATAGTGGCTGTGGACTGGATGGCCACATGTGTAATAGGATTAAGTATGTAGAAATGTATGTTCATATTTATAACTTGTGGCTTCTGCTTGAAGGAAAATCATTATTTATCAGTTTATTACTAATCATGAGGTTACTTGGGAAAATATTTTGGTCTAAGAGGGATGAAGTGGATGGAGAAAGTGAGGCACATGGAGATCTTCACCAAACACAAAGTGATGAAATCAAGGAGGATTAGATTGGTAGGGCATGCAGCATGCATGGAGTAGATGAGAGATCAGGTTTTTGGGTGGAAAGCCTGGAAGGAAGGGGCCATTCATAAGACTGAGGCATAAGCCGGAGAATATTATTGAAATTAATCTTGGGGAAATTAGATTTGAAGCTGTGTATTGGATTAGTCTGGATCAGAATAGGAAGCAGTATCAGGCTCTTGTGAATGTTGTAATGATTCTTTGGGTTCCATCAAATGCTAAGAATTTCTTGAATAGGTGAGCATACTATTTGTTATCTTCTTAATAAAGACTCTGCTACAAGTGGTTAGTTAATATAGAATATGGATTTTAGATGCATCAGTTTCCATTATTTATCAGAAAATTAATAATGGCAGTTGATGTAATTTCCAATTGTAACATTATCTCACAATTTTGCTGTTGCATTTAAGTTTTAAAATTCCATGACCCAAATTACAAATGTAGCTATATAGTCTTGTATTGTTCTCGAAGAAGTGTCAGACATAAGAAATTTTCAGAAAACAACATATACAAAATACGAACATGATTTGAAAAATTTAAACAATTTATGGTTCAGAAGGATTGACAGTATCTGTGAAAGAATGAGTAATCTTACTGATATTTCAGTCATATACATATCATTGTATCTGTGTATTGATGTGAAAGATGACCTTGTTTTGAGATTATATTGATGCACCTTTTCAGTCAGTTGCATTTTCCAGAACTGCCTATTTTTAGAAAGGCACAGTGTGTCTAGAGTATTGTTATTCAGTAGTTAAATCAGCTTGATTTATAAAAATTATTGTCTTTTTATGTGTGGACAGAACACAATTTTAATACCTTCTCCCAGTACGCTTACATAATCCCTATTTTGAAGTATGATCTTTCATTTTCACATTTTGAAGCTTGTATGCTTACATAATCCCTATTTTGAAGTGTGATCTTTCATTTTCACATTTTGAAGCTACTCCACATTAAATGTAAACTTCGCAATTTAAAATCAGTGACTCATGCTACAAACTGCAGGAGTTGATATCATGAGAAAAACAGGATGGCAAAGGGTTGTGGTACTGTACAGATATATGCTGTATAAAATATAAGCTTCAGAACCCAGTTGGATGTAAAACAGAAAATAGAGGACTTGGACTTAATATATTTTTACCATGAAAATAGTAGCTGAACTGGAGAGGATTTTAAAATTTGCATAAATCATTGATTTACTCTCTTTCATCTCTCAGTTTATAGTTTCTACAGTTACAAAATGAAAGCCTATTGGGCTGCTAGAGAAACTGGGATATACTAGGCATGTGATATTCCAGCATGTAATAAAAATTATTATAGTGGAACCTCCATTAAATGTTATTCTTTTTAACATTTTCCCTCATTTAACTTTCAAGTCCAATGATCCCAAGTCAGTAAACCCAGTGATAATTTCCTTAATTTTAGGATTTTATCATTGTAGTGTTTGAAAAACTTCCTCCACAAAGAAACCATAATGGGGATTTCATTGTATTTACCATTGATAATACAATGTCAAAGGAAGTGCCAATTATAATTAATTCAACAATGGTTTTAAAATATGAACTGGACTGAATGAAGTTGATACATTTTTCCTGGGATGGTTGTTTGGCCCAAAATTAGTTACTTGTTTACAAGGTGGTCACACTGGTGATTTTATTGTAAGTACAATTGTACAACCACTACTTTGCTCATCTCTTGATCTATGTGGTATTAGAGTACTAATATATGCTAGGTTATTTTCTGTAGTTGTTTTTTGTGGGAGGTACTTGTCCAGAATGCTGTATAAATCAGTTTTTATAGTTACAGTAGATGATTTTCCACTGTTTAATTCCATCATATTTGGAAATTATTTGTAAGTAACTGGGATATTATAACTGGTTTCTTAAAATTAATATTCTGAATTTGTGAGGTTATAAAACTGATAAAAAAATCAATGCCCAGGAATTATATTTCATTGTGTACAGTGTACATGATATATTATGTATACATATGTAGAGTATATATTCCATTCCTTGCATCACTAAAGAAATTGGTAAGGAGGGTATTCATATCTTTTTAAAAATAATTTATGATAAATAATTCTGATTGTCTTCAAGGACTTCAAATTTTATATAATATTTTACTTACAAATTCTTTTATTGTATATTATGTTGAACATTGCAAGATTTAAGAACTATTTTGTGTTCTCTGTGCTTTAAATTTTGTGTGCATGTAGGGGAGAGACTAATGCAAATGATGTGTTTGTAATATAAACATTACTGGTAATCTATATACCAGCTTGGTATGTGCAGTAAATCGATTATTAGTAACAGTATTGAAATAAAATAATAATTGATATCTTTATACATATTTAATGAGAATCAACCTTTGTAATTTGTTTAATTTTTGCTATTTGTTTATAGTTTTAACAACACTTTTTTAGTAGCTCAGACTATATGGCGTCAAATGAGAGGATTATAGTGAGTATTGAATTGGAAGGGATGTGAAAGGAACCAGTCATGGCCTAATTTGTATTATTATTTAGGAATTAATTATATTACTTTACTCAACAACATTACTGAGTATTTTGCTATAACTTGTTGCTTAATATCAGATTAAGACATTCATTCCCATGTTAACTAGGTGCATAACTGACTTAAGGAACTGATATATTTTTTAGGGATTTGTGTAAGATATAATGCACCAGATAGTAGTACTTTTATGCTTTAATTTTCTTTAAAGGAACTTCATGTCTCACAATGGACATTTGCAGTATTGGCAAAGGTGTATTAACTTCTCTGTCTTTTTCCTCTGACCAAACAGTTTAAGTTACACATTTTCTGGACAGGAATAGAAGAAATAATTACTGTTTTTGTAGATTAATGCTTTTATTTTCAAATTCACAGTTGCTTCAGTGGTTGTGTAACTACTGAATTCAGTACTGGAGTTGCCCATTATTGCTCCTAATCTAAGTTTTACTGTAGTACATTTTGGTTCTTTTAGTTATGAAGACATGTATTTGAGTTAAAAGAGTTGTTGATTTTATGTGTTCTGATATCTAGACGGAGAAGAAAATTCTACACAATTTCTGTGTGATTTGCTTTGAATAAAGAAGTTCAATGCAGAAGATATTGTTCAGTATAGGAACATATAGAATGGAGGTAAGAAGTGGAATCCTGAAGAAGGAATAATTTTGTTGTCTGAAACTTTGTTAACCACCTACTAGAACATAGTGTCACTGCAGAAGACCACAATATCCTTTCCATTATTTAGTTCAAATGGCTATTATAATACAAAATCTTTCCATCTTTTTTCAGATCTGCATATGCACTTTCTTCCTGTAAGTTTATATTTAAATGTTTTGGAAGGGGGATGTGCAAGGGAAGTGTGGACCAGGAAGAACTGTTCCTGTCACAAAGAATGTAAAAGTATTCCACTGGAGTAAACATATGTTTCAAGTGTATAGTTTCAAATCAAATTTACAGGTATTAACCATTTGAAGTCAAAGTCAATTTAAATAACATTTAACAGCCAGTTCTTACTGCAAAGAAAACTGCCTTCATTACAAAAATCAATAAGTTAGTGGCATGACTCTGAGAATCATACACCCATAAACATAATTTGGCAGAATGCATAGTTATTGATTGTTAAAGCAGATGGTGTATATACCACTGGGATCTGTAGGCGATAATGAGAATATGTTCTATGTCATCCCAGTTTTTCTGAGATGCTGCGTTCATGAGTACATTTAAGGGATGAGTCTGACATCCAATAATTCTGATTATGTCATCCAGAATTGTTATTGTTTACGTGTTTGGTATTTAGAATGTGTTATTGGCGCAGAGAGTGTTTTTTTTAAATTTTCCCTTCAAAGGCAGAGCCTCCAGTACATAGCTTGTATTTACAAACTCCATTGAATGTCATGGTCGAATGAACAGCACCTCTAATTCGGATTCCGAGGTCAAATTGGCCAGAAGGCTGGGTTTGTAGACAAGTTTCCCTGGTTTTCCTCCGTGCAAAGTCTGGAATAATACAATAAATTAGGCCATGACCGCTTCCTTCCACATATTTTCGAATTATATGCGAATCATTCGAAACTAATGGCCGCATTACTGTGAAAACAATAAATAAACAAGCAGAAGATATTGATAGTTTGTTTAACCCAAACCTTTGTATTTAGCGCCCAGGCGCAATTACGTCACTGGGTTTGGCCTGCATACCCGTCTGCATGGTTGCCATCATTCAAATGTGTTTATTTGCATTGTTAATTTTTTTTAATAACAAGTGTTTGCGTTGACATATTACGTACAGTAATCAAAATACATAGTTTTGTGTAAGAAATAGAAGTTATAGCAGAGCTTGCTGAATTCCGTTAATTCTGTTTTATATAAATTCAGGACGGGATAACTTTGATAGGAATAGGCAGATAACATTTGTAGAATCTGGTGACAAGAGTGTCAGCGTTTTATTGATAACGATATACATTATAATTGTTTTGAGTTTGTGTTTTGTGATAATTAGAATGTAATTATAAAAGTGCCGAAAATCATGATACCGAAAGATGTAGATGTCACGAAATAATTATTGTAAATATGGACCAAAGTAAAAAATACAATGGAAACATTAACTTCCGTCTCTCATAGGTACAATATCCAAATTCTTGAGGTGTTTGGTAGCATATGAGTTTTATTAACTTAGAAATTAAGGAAGTGTAATTTCATTTCAGGCTTATTCACTTAGATTTGAAGGGTGCACCACCCAAGATAACGTACTTGGCTCAGGTGAGAATACACTACACAGGTAAGAATACACTTCTTAATTCAGTTTTGGCCATTGTCTAAAACAGTTGTGAATATTACAGCTATTTCCATTACTTCGTGAATGGGGAGCTACAGGTTTACTGATTGAATGGGAGGATACTTTTCCTTATGTTCGAGATCTTACATTAATCGGTTCTAATGGGCCATGTCCAGCTGGAGCATATACAGCTGAAGAGGCTCGTGAATTACTGAAACTTGCAGGGGATGCAGGTCTGGCAGTAGTTCCACTTGTACAGACCATAGGACATCTTGAGGTAATATTTGCTGTGTATGTTAGTGACTGCAATTTTTATTTTTAGAAAGTAGCAGAACAGAATTAAGTTGCAGTAACTCCATATTTTATGCTTTAAAATTGAGAGCCCTGTATGAAATGGCAAAGCACATATGATGTTTTTGAGACTGAACTTGGAGCAAAGCATCACACCACTGTTAGATACTGATATGAAATACTTAACATATTTTCTTCTTGGTTTTGAAGGCTGCATTACTATTTCTAAACATTTGAAGGTGCTGGACTTTAAAGCCACGTAGGCCACTTATTTCGTTCTTCATTCAAGGTAAGAGACCATGTTTCAGAATCACACAAGACAGCAGGCAAAATTATTGTTTTATATATCCTGTTGCAGTTTGTTCTGAAGCATGACAAGTGGCGTGCATTGCGTGAGGTAGAGGCATACCCCAGTTCCATGTGTCCCTCACATCCAGAAGCTCTGTCAGTTGCCACATCACTAATAAAGCAAGTTGTTGAGTTCCATCCAGACATTCAGTATTTGCATATTGGAGCTGATGAGGTATATAAACATTACTGTCAAGTATCCAGGTTTTTGTGAAATCTTGTTATGTAATGCTCTTTTATTATGAAAATATCATCTATATGTGGAATTCTGTAAAGTGTTATTTTATTTTGGCTTTTCCATCAGGTTTGGCACATGGGACTCTGCCCAGCCTGTTCTCGACGCATTGAAAATAGCAAGTGTGGGCGTGCACAACTTTTCCTGGAACACGTGGTTGCAGTTGCTCAGTATGTACGTGAGGCTTTTCCCTCTCTGCGTGTGATCATGTGGGATGACATGCTGCGTGCTGTTGACACATCTATTTTGCTTGGTTGGTATATCGTCATAACCCAGACTGTCTCACACTTTGAAGACTTGATTCTTCCTTTCCATATTTGAGACTGTAAGTGGAATGGCATTATTTTGTCTAATGTTTTTAAGGTAACTTATGAATTCAGTGTGTGGGATGTGGCAGACTGTTGGATTAAAATGTTGAGATTGCAGGCCAAATTTCTTTTCTTTCATGTCACTCACTGAATATGTAGAAAGAAAATTGCTCTCAAAACCTGTCAATAAATGATATATTTGACCTTTCTGTTGCCAAGAGACAAAGAGAAATTGAAGGAAGAAATATAATCTTAAGGAAACTGTACTTCATATGTCTTTGATATGATAGCTAGAACCATTAACATAGGGTTTCTTCAGTCTTTCATGTTTCCTGTCCATTTATTCCATCAATGTAATCTTCCCAGTTTCATATTATTAACACCAAATAATTATGGCATTCGTTACAGGGCCCGGTAAATAAAGTATCAGTGTTTTGGGGTTGTCAGTAATTTGTCATTGCATGTGTGTTGAAGTTTTATAAGTTACTGTGATTGTAGATTATATTATTTGGAACTTAAATCCATGACTGCATATCCTGAGCTTGATTTAATTTTGTGATGACATTTTGACCCTAAGATACATTTTATAGGTTTAGAATACCAATAAAGAGACTTGTACATTGCAGTAGAGGATTTATAACTCATATTTTGTATAATGCAAATTTTTTGGTTTAGCTTGATAATTATGATATGTTTGAGGGGATGTGTTTCAGAGTTCAACTTGGGTCGCTATGTGGAACTCATGGTCTGGCATTATACACCTGCTGAGTGCTTCCAATTAACACCAGGTTATTGTTATTCTTTGTGTCTATAATATTTAACTCTGTATGAGCACAGTCAGAATTCTAGTTTAATTAGTTCCCTAAAATAATAATGACAGACAAATTGTTGTTTGTGAATGTGTGGTAATTCACCTGTTCGTCCCATTATATAGTAATCATTTGTGTTTGGTGTGTTATTGCAGAATTATGGGATAAATATTCTTCAGTGTTTGACAGTGTATGGGTGGCAACAGCATTCAAAGGCGCAACTGGCAGTTGTCAGCTGTTGCCAGTGATTCAGCACCATCTAAGCAATCATGAACACTGGCTTCGTGTCCTCAGCCGTGAAGTGAGCAAGTTCCAGCACTTCAGGGGTGTTGCACTCACTGGGTGGTCTCGGTAATTTTCTGTAGACCAACAATACTTATATTCTTGCCTTTCTCTGCTGTTGTGTATGTTGTAATGAATAATGAATTGGAAAGGATACTGAAAGAAGTGATTATATCATAATTTAAGATACTATCCTGGCATTTGCCTTTGCCTTTAGGGACCCAGGAAAACCATGAAAAATCTTAGTTAGTGTACCCAGACTCTAGGCTGAGATTTGAACCTATGACCTACTGAATATGAAGCAGAGTGCTTATGACTCTGCCATGGTGGTCAGAGCAAATGTAGTAGTATCTGATGGTCAGGCACTTAGATAGTGTTTGATTCTTCTAAGGCTCTCTGGTCTGTATTCGGTCCATGGCCTCCTTAATTCTCCTCTTCCATTCGGTCCTCTGTTAGGTCCGTCTGTCCGAGGTTTTGACTGAGGTTTTGAAACATCTTCCTTTTTACGGTGCAAGGTTGTTAGCCTTGCGACCAACCCCCAACCTGGAGGACCAGGGTACCTGTCTTAGTCTGACCTCTCCCCCTCGACCAATCTGGCTAGGGAGGCCTACTCAAGCCCCACCACCACGACAAAGTGCAGGTACCATTAAGTGGGGATTGTGTGATTCAGTAATGATTTAAAGCAACATGTCTTGGGTCCAAGTATGTTCAGTAAACAGGATTTTTAACACTTAGGATGTTCACCAGATGAATGTTCAATTTTCAGTATTTACGCCATTATCACTAAAATCGTAGAAGTCTGTTTCACATTTTTCATACTGAGATTTGAAATCAGCACAGACCAATGCAAGTAATACAACAAGCTTAATTTGTTTATGAAGATCTTGATATGTCACATTTTACAGCTTGGCCTCATAGCTTAACAGAAATCTGTAAATGAAATGTGTTGTACCTTCATAAGGTAACTCATATAAAACATATGTAGATGGAAGTGACATATGAGATACCTTGTCACAAATAGGCAAATGGCTAAAGAGATGTTAATGACACCAACATGATAAAGGAACAACTGACATATTGCATATGGTAAGAATACTCTTCTTTTATCAAAATGCAATATCTTCATACACCATGAAGCCAGTATTTGACCTTTTTTTATAGTTATGAAACATTGTCTCGCTCTGAGGGGCAAAAACACAAATTAAAAATATTTAAAACTGTATAATTTTTGGACTCGAGTATAGAATGGGCAATTCCTCATTTTGCCTATTTGTTGATGTATACAACATTACACCAGGGAATAAGATGTAAATACCATGGGCTCTGAAATGTGGGGAGTCAGAAGTCTTTTTTCATTTTCTGAGTGTGTTGTGAGAACTGATGGTATGCAAGTCATGGTCTGTTTTATAAACAAGTATGTAAAGTGAATTTAAGTGGTGATATGAAGTTTTGAAAAGATACATACATTTTACTTCAGAAAAGGAACTGTTCCTTTTGTATGTTCATAGGTATGACCATTATGCAACACTATGTGAGCTTCTGCCAGTTGCCATTCCCAGCTTAGCACTTTGTCTGAAGGTGTGGTTGGCTGGAGCTTACAGTGGAGATTTGCACATTTCAGTAGCAAAAGATTTGGGCTATATGGACACACCACTTGTCCTGAATCCCTATCCCAGGTAAGGCTCTGCTATTTACGTATTAAAAATAGACCCAAAACTGGGAGTGTAATTATTACAGGGATGTGGGTAGAAATGAAGTTGTTAATTGATATTTTAGTATATTCATACCTAAGGAGAAAAGAAGTCTAGGAAGACCCTGAAGACATGGCTTAAAAACTGTTAACAGGCCATGTGGTATGATGATTAGTTACATTTCTTTGTTTGTATTGCTTTCAGTCCAGTACCATTGGTGTTTTGTGTATAACACATTTCACAGAATTTAGTACTTCTCCTTATGTTAATAGGTTAGGTAAGTTATTGCCTGCACTGCCTTCAAAATCCTGTTTCCATTTCCCATTAGACCTGCTGTTATTCTTCACCTTGTAGGTTTATAAACTAATGTCATATTCGGTCACCTGTGTATACACATTCTCTGTATGTGGTCTTTGCATACTGCTATATGTAATAAACTCTATTATCTATTACTAGTTTCTCATGAACAGAATTTCAGTATTAATTTTTTGTGTCATGTACATTCAGCTAGAGGTGTTAGAAAATTCTAGATTCTGCTCTTCCTTTCTTCATCTTCATTGTTGGTCAGGTACGTTTACTACAAATAGTACTGACATAATACCTAAACTGTTGGTACATATTTGGAATAACAATGTGCATAAGTGGATTTATCTTTTGTAAACAAATTTCTGAAATCAGTGCATTATGAATTTAGTATATTTACTACAAGGAGAAGTATGCTGTGAGGAAACAACCAAACTGTTGTCATGGTTGTCATATAAATAAATTTCATAAAGTATTACCTAAACTTTATTTCTGTTATACATAACAGGACTATGTACAATTGTCTTTTAATTTTGTGACTAATGTAGGATAATTTCGCATCTTATTTCTTTAAGTAAATGATTGTTATTCAAAACTTCATTTATTCTGAATTTACTTTCAATTTAAATTTCTAGATACAAATTAGAGGTCTTATTCCTTTATTTTATGTTATTATTATAGGCCACAGCCTGTTCCCCAACAGCTCAGTTTTCCTGGCTGGAAAGTACGTGTTGGCGTTGAGTGGTTTTCCAATCTGCGCCTAAAGTACCGTAGCATCGTTGAGAGTGATCAGTGAGTATTGCATTTTCTTCAGTTTAAAATTATGCAGGTTTATGTGTAACTAAAATACAAAAAATAATTTTTCTCAAAAAACAATGGCATAGATAAGTAATAAATAACAATAATAGCATATCCAGTATATTAGTGCAGAAACAACATAAGTTGCAATGAAAAAGAAAATTATTGTGAAAGATTAAAAATACTAAAAGTTTAGTGAAACAAGACTGGAACTCCATGCTCTTTCTCTTTCATAGTAATATAATCAGATGTTCTTATCGCAATAACAAATCACTCAGAGTTTTTCCCCCCGTCTCTCTCCTGGAAAATTTGTGGTTCCTGACTTGTGTTGTCTTGGAAATCATTGATTCAATTATAAGCTCAACAGTTCACTGAACTTAACTACTGTTGTTTATTTTAGAGTTGAAACTTGGTTCAACCCTTGGCAGATTCAAAATGGATTTACCAATCCCATGCAGATTGAAAGTCTGATTCCTGCTTTCAATGAGTAAGTTTTACTGTTTCCTGAATTTATACAATTGGGTGTATTTGCTTGTATGCACAATACCATGAAATAAGATATGTTATTTATATATAATTTCCTAAATATAAAAAGTTTATGAGCATGATACATAGGTTCTCCACATTTAACACATATAAGTAATTGATTATTTTAGTTTCTTATAGATTAGGTGTAAAGTGTAAATTTGTTGGAATAAAAACTGTTTTAATTGGTAAAATGTGCCCAAGATATGTATGCAGTGTGTAGAAGTATAGAATTGGTTCCACCAGATTTAGACATTAGCATCCTAATAAAGAATGTACTGAGAAATTCTGCTGTGTTCATTCATATTCTTAATCCAAACTGAGATTATATTCAATCTCTGAAAATGTAATTGTGTTTTGGGTACTGTAATACAGCGTGCTATGTTATTTAATTAGGGTACTATCATTCCTGTAAGGTCCGAATCTTATTTGCTGTTTCAAACACTGTAATCTACATAGCAAACTATACAGAGTATGAATTCTCAGTCCTGAATGGTTTGACTTAATGAAGCTGTCATGTAACATAGACTTCTAAATCAGCTGTCTGTTATAATAGAATTGAATAGTGATTCAGACCTCTACTATTCTTGTTTCTAAAAACGGATTGAATTGACTAAAACATTTTTTAATTTTTATACTTTTAAACTTTACGTATTTCGCAGCCTGCTTTTTGAATTTGCATCATTGGAGGGTTACATGAGAGTTCATCTGGAAGATGTGCTACAAATACCAGCAATGGAGGAATGGATTGGTACATTGGTGGAGCCCTTGCGCATTCGCCTACGCCAGTTAAAGAAGGATGCAGAGGCTCAGATGCTGCTGGGAGCCCGTGTACGAGGCTATGACACCCTTCTCTGATTTGATTGTAGCTGCCACATCTGGCATCAGTCATCAACATCTGTGCTGGCGATGGTTTATATTACTTCAAATATAGCAATTCTGGTACAAAGCTATGAATGATATATGCTTATTACCATGTTCAAATACAATGGACTCTCCCCAGCTGGCACCCTCTTAACTGCAGTCTGACTTTAATTGCCATATTTTGTAATCTTCACATTTCAAACATGATTCAATAATTCTTCATAAACATTACATATTTAGTTCTGTTTCAGACTGCCACCAGTGTACACCATTTCACAGGACTTTTGATTGATGGTATTGAAATTTTTAATATTGTGCACTCTTGTTTTGCAAAATGGGCCAAAAAAAAGAGTAATGTTTGGTTATCTATAATTGATAAATTATTGTCATGCTAAGTAAATAACACTGTACTGAATTTTATTACCTTTCATTTATATATAATTCTTCCAATGAAGAATATAACTTTGGAATAACCAGCCTACAACTTGGTCGTGTTTGTGCCAGTTAAGTGGGAGTCCATTGTGCCATAAAGTTCTCCACTAACTAATCTAACTCCATGAAGCATTGTTCTTCTTGAGAAGCTAATAGTTGTTCATTTGGCCAAGGAATTCCCAACCTGATGTGGAACGCAGTGGTTCATTATTACGTATACAACAGCCTACCACTGGATTGAATCCTCAGCCATGTGAATCCAGTTTACATCCCCATATATTATTTCTTTAGGGTCCATTTTAATATTATCCATATGGGTCATAACAAAATGTTCATTTCTTCTGAACCATAGTATTATAACTATATGTTACAACTGATAATCCGTTCTGGCAGGTAAGTACAAGGGATAATATCTTTTATTAATAATATTTTTATAATAATTAAATGTATTTCTTAATTCTGCTTTAACCAGTTCCTTAAACTATATTTGTAGAGTTCCAAAGGAACCCTATTAGTTAGCCTGCCCATCCATCTTCTCCCTGATTGAACTGCAGACATGAATATTAGAGACACTAATTGGCCAATTTTTATACAACTTCCACTTTTAACTTCCTTTGAAGAGCAGTACCATATGACTACCATGTGCATTTGTAAGATGGGAGCAATGCTAATACCATAGACATTGGAGCTGAAATTTTGTGTGGTGATAGGGCTTTGAAAAGTAAACAAATTTTTATTTTTGGAAAAATTTGGAGATGCATAAACCATTTTGTTGTGAGGTTGGTAACAGGTTCCAAAATCATTAGCAGTGCAAGTGATTTTAAAACTAGCACTGCCTTATTCTTTGGAACTCTTAAATGCATTATGCTGATGAGAAGTAAGTTTAGCGCTTGTTTTATTTATAGGATTTGAGACTTTCGCTGTGAGTACAACCAATAAAATCTTCTCGGACAATCGGCTACGGTAACCAGTTGACGCAGCTGTTTGCCCAAGATTTTATTGATTGTTTTATTTACTTTGTCAGGTCAAGTATTGTATATGTTGAGGGTTTAGTACATACTTTACCTGGAGTTTAAATGGTGCTTATTTGGTTAACCTGTCAGTCCCAGAGGATGTAAATCGGTTTAAGTGACATGAAGGCAGAAATGATGAGTTTTAAATTCATAAAAAATGCTCACTTAGACGAAAGAAACTAATTGTTACGTCATCTGTTTACTTGGCATTGTGTTACATTACTGCCGTCAACAATCCACTTTCGTTATTGCAGAAAGAGCTGAGCTGTGAATCGCTTGTAGAAGAAGTGTGGCGTGGACTAGATAATTTTGTGCAGGTAAAAACGTTTTAGAATATCACAAGTACTTATCTTATATAAGAATTATTATATTAAATTTCATTACATTACAGAGACGTATTTACGTCAGATTCTCCGGAACCGTGGTTCCACTGTCAACTTTATTTTTAATACAATGTCAAATTAACAACAGGCAGTCACATCCGAAAGATAGCCAATTATTTTGAGTATCCACACAACGGTTGTAATATGTGTATACAGAATGCAAGGTACTTAACTATATGGAATTTGTTGGTGTCTTTGGGACGAAGGAAAATGGCAGGGGCGTTGTTGAGCCCAACAACAACAATGGAAGTCCTTTTCGGTGTTACGGCAAAGGTCGTAGCCGGTAGGGGCGGATACGGCTTATGTGGCACGATTGAAAGAAGGGGGTTGACATGTGCGGAATTAGTTGGGGTAAAATGAGGGAGGTTAAGGTGTGGGTTGGATACCGTTGAAGGTCTACTTAAGACTTTTGTTTTCGACAAATTTATTTCGGAGGATAAAGCGTATTAAATATTTTAAAATTGCCCATTGCAAAGAACGCACAATGGAACTGTATTCCGAGACAGAATACTCTTTCCTGACTCGCAAATGCTTTTGGATATCTGTGATTAATACCAACATTATAACAAATGGGCATCTGAGTCTTGATCGGTCCGACCAGCGAATTCTTAGCAGCTAGCAACATCCCTTGTCCCTTATTTAAGTTATGTTATTTGTGGTTCCTACGGGAGTTGTAATTATCCGCGATTAGAACCAATTATCAACCAGATGCGTAGTTATTGTGATGTTGGTATTAATAGCTGATACTCTTATACAGTCATTTAGTTTTATAGCGATATATTACGCATAGAGTTCGTACATGTCGATAGAAATAGTTATCGAAAATTCTTGATCATTACAATATGTCACGCTGAATGACAAAGTCTTATGGCAACGTAACATCACGGGAGTGACATGAATTTTTATCATGGAGTAATACATTAAGATAAATCTAGAAGGTAAGTATAATATATAAAATATTTGCATTGTAATACTGCAAGAGGACTTTAGGTTGAAAATACTACTTTGATTAAAATGAAATGTCAAATGTAACAAATCTTCAGGTGAAAATCAACAGGCGGCAAGAATGAACTTTGAAAATGCAGGACACTTGTCGCCCGTTTCATCAGTGCTGGGACTGGGTGGAGCATTTCAGAAGGGGTTGGTTTTTCTACTAAAATTAGCATGGAACTCCCGATTTCGCCTTCCAGTTCTCATTACAGTGGGATTTATGGTTCTTGATGTAAGAATGCAACTCGAGGTGAACGTGGACATAGAGGTTAGACATATACATATCCAAGATGATGATGATGGAGAAGAAGGAGAGGATGGTGATGAAGAAGATGATGAAGATGTCAGTAATGTCAGTGGTATCAGCCACATCAGTGGTGTTGAAAATGTAGTAGAAGAGGATTCTGAACTGGAAGAAAATATTGCCGTATGAACACACAGGTTAAATATTTTAATTGTTACTAAAATCTGATTACTTTTTGAAGTATTAGTGCATTGATAACTTACACTTTTAAAAAGACAGTGCCATTAATTGTTTTGGTTGGATGCAAGAATCAGAAACTATATAATGTATTATGTACTAAAATGTCTTACTCTCTAATGCCATTACCTTGATATTTTATTTTTATAAGAAGGTGTGTGTTAAATTCACTTAAATGCACTTCTGCTACATATATTTACATTGAGCCAAGTCTGAAGATTTTTAAATGGAAATCACATTTAAATTTTAAAAAAATATTTAAGATTATTGGAAACCACATAAAAAATGTATTAAGAACAGTAGGTCTAGATCTGAGTATTTGATGTCTTGAAGTTTATAAATAATTTTGTTGGTGCCAGAGTAAAGGAATGTAAGTTAAAAAGATTACAGCTGAAATATGATTGCTGCTTTAGTGCCTGTATCTCATGTAACCTGTAATTTAGCAATAATAGCACTTCGGCCCTAAGTCTGTGTCCAAATTGTATTATTGTATTTGTATATATGCTTTTATAACACAGTATTCCTGATTTGTGAGTGTGTTCTGAAAATTGTTTTTTGGTTTCAACAAAATTCCAAGACCACCATGCCTGATATGTTTGTCAGCTTTTTAAAATATATACTAACAAAATGTAATTCTATCCACATTTTTCAAATAAGGATTATAATGCAATGTGCCCATCATTCATGATAATTTCCATAAGACTCAAGAAAACTGTATATATATGTACATGTGTACACAACATTGCTTGAAAATGAATTATCACCATTGCAATGTACAAGCTTGTAATAGTAATAAAATAACAGGAATAATATTAACTGAAATACATACAATGTGCGTGTTCAATTTTCCTTGCTGTATATCTCAGAGTAGGTTGTTTCTTGTATGTGGTAAGGAGATATGTTTCACAATCACATTTACATAGACTATGTATACAGTTGTCTCCTGGAACATACAGACTGATTGGTTCACCGTATCTTGTGATGGAAATCATGCACCAAAAGTCACATCAACATGTGTCTGTGCAGATAATTTACTGTTGTCCACTTGATGTTGGTCATGGCATCAATGAAGTTAGTCCAGATGTTCTTCTCTTCTCTTTTGTCTCTTCTCTGTAGTTCTTGTTTTAACATGTGTGGGTGGCAGTATTGTCAGTGTTCTGAAGTTCTGGATGAGAAAGGTTAATTGATATAGTCTTTAGGTAGTGAACTTGGATATTGACAAGAGTGTCTTCAAATATACATTTGCCAGGTTCTGTTTCAGGTGGTTTCTGTCTAATGATTCCAAACTATCTGAATGCTGTGAGAATCAGGCTAATCTGTACTCGGAAGAAAGTCATGACTGTTTCCAAAGACAGTTGCTCAATCTTTTCAATATCTTACATGGCCTTGACCACTCCATTGCTCTGTCTTTGATATGAATATGAATGTCAGAATGACTTTACTACCTTTACTGCGTCTTTCTCATGGCGTGATTACTGTACATTGTTGACAGCAGTCACAGCATATGTTCCTACATCAACTATAAAGAGTATCTGTAACTAAATCCAGCTCCTGCTTGTGGACCTGCATGTATGATGTGCCAATAAGTAGTCATATTTAAAATGGGCCCCAAAATTAAAATTCTAGAAACTTTTTCAAAGACCATCTTCAAAAGTAAAATTTTCTTATAGAATTTGAGTATGTTTGTTGAAATGTATACTTTGTGATATGCACCACTGATTGATTTTGGTACTAACTCCATGGAACAGAGTTCTGAAGAAGCTGTAACTGATCCAGTCTAGAATGTTAATGGGAAACAAAGATGTATTATTGTGTTTGCATGAACATGCCACCAGGCTGTATCCTGAGGTGAAAGCAGTCCACACCCTCCCTCCCTATTTCCTTAAAATCGGTTTAATTTCAATACCTAAGTATTCTAAGTGGTAATTTCTGTCCAGGCTTTCACCCAAAACTTTTTATGCATTTCTCACTTCTCCAGTGTGTACATACATACATATTTTCTTACATTCCATGGATCCATAAGATAGTCAGATAACAATAGGATGTGGAAAAAGTCATAATGATAATACAATACATATTATAAAGTACAATTCATACTATTATATAAATTTCACATAATACAAAGGGTTCACCTAAAGTAATGATAAGTGCTACATTAACACCCATCTCATACTCAATGATATTAAAATACTAATAATAATGTGGTGAGTGCAAATTGATTGATTGGACTGAATAAGTAGTCGCTGACGTTCGTTAGTAGGAGCAACGAGAAATGAGAGACTTAGTAGCTAAGGTAGGTAATTTAATTCAAGAACATAAAATACCAGCAGAAATGTAATGACAAGGTACAAGGAATGCCACCACATTGTATAACCCCGAGCAGTTATCGTGGGCGAACAAGACTGCTATTAAGTATATGATTAAAAATTACATATTCAACTGCGGGTTCTCATAATAACATCTCATTATTTTAATTAATTTTATCATAGCTATAACGTACTATTTATTCCTGGTTTAATTAACGATGCTTTCAGTTGGTAATATATTACGTAGAACGGCTATTGAAAAATGGATTGGAAGAAATATAGAACTAAAGAAATTTAAATCCCTGTCGTGTTCGAATTTTGAGCAGTTCATTCATACATTTTCTTGAACACTCTTACTTATGATGTGCAGTTTCGCTAAGTGAAGTATCACTTGTACGCAAGTTGGCGGCAGTGCGTTATGTGCAGAGGAAATGGCTAGAGGACCAAAGGGTATAAAAGTACACCATGTTCCTTTAAATTACACAAATTAGGAAACGTAGGCTTGGCGTAAAATTTATGGTGCGTTGTCACTGTTGTTACTTCTAGGTTTTCAATTCGTAAATGATAACTTCTTATGTTCTTTCGTAAACAGAGTGAGAAAGCACCTCAATAGAACTGATAAAAATCTGTTCTGCTCTTCTCGAATTATGAAATGACTCAGTATAAAATTCCATTACACATCTTTATTTGGAACGCCGTAAGACTTGAAGAAAAAAGTATACAGGACACATAATTTGTGCTTCGGGATCCTTTACAGCTTTTGCTCGAAACATGTTTTTCTCCGATAAATATTTATCGATTTTAACCAAAATGTGAATGTGTAGGTAGATTTTAGTTTAGTTTAGTAATGGCGAAGCTAATATATGCTGTTTTTAAACTTTTCGTTGCAAACTCACCAACCAGTTAATCAAGAAAATTTGTTTTTGTTATTTTGAAACATTGGCAAATTTAGTGTTTTCTAATATTACAGTTGTGGAGGACTTCGAACCTTCATTTCAATTCAGATACTCAGATAGATATTGAAAGATGTCTGTCGTCTGGGATGTAGAGCCGTGTAGCCTGGTAGAAGTTTACCAACTTTTCAGAGGCCCTTGCTGTCTCATGAGAATCTCAATTCCTACTCCGAGAGATGTTTGTTCACTCAGGTAGGCTCATTGCATTAAATTTGTACTCTTGATCCTCTCTGACGGAGGTGATAAGGACACACGAGATCACGTAGCTAGTCTTTCATTCAAGTAAGCCGCAGGCGGTCCTGACTGGAGAGCTTCATTAAATGTTGCCATGGAAACACGATGAGTAGGAAGTGAAGCAACATTTCTTTATTTCCGTTCTTATTTCTTTATTTAAACCCAGTTACCTAGGGAGCCAACGATCTGGTACGGCTTAAGGCTGAAGCTAGGTACAGCAAAGCATGCGTCCTTACTGTAACAGTGGCACACCATCCATTTTAAGTTGATCGGTACTGAGTTAAAGAGTTGACAGTGGAACCACGGTTCCGGAAAATTTGACGTAAATACGTCTATACGGAAAGGAAGTTTATATATTGGCTTTATTCTAAATATTTCCTTTATACATGCTTTACAATTGAGTAAAGTTTGATTAAGACTTTGCTTATTTAACTTGAATTAGTTACGCTTAAGATGGGTCTGTGGTAGATGAATGTAATGTAAGGTAAGGTAACTATGTAGGTAACCATTGTTTGTTTATTTGTTGATAAACAGATGACGTTTCCAAGGTAACATAACAATGAAGTTACACTTATTCCTTTCACTTATTGCCGAATGACACTGACCCGAAAATATAGACGTATTTACGTCAAAAAATCATGTTGATATCTGTAGGTATTTAATTACTCTTTTTCAACTGCATTCTTAGAACTATAAATATAATATTTCTGTTAAATGTAATTGTCAAGCCTCATGCTTTGTGCTTCGGCAAACGCTGGAATGGAAAGTTAAATCATGTTACTAATTTTTCCTTTCACATCACCCCCTCGACTCGCTAGACGTGAAAATCACCGTCACTAATTCAAGGTTAAATACAATATAATATTGGGGGGGGGGGGATCTTACCGAATAGTAGGAATTTATTTACGAACTCTGTTTCTTCCAATTCTCGTTCTAGTTGGAAATACTACAATCACTATGTACAAAGAGGTGTTATACATAATTGTGATAAGAAATAAGTAATTTTGTGATTGTCATTACCAACGGAATAACACTTCTTATTCAACGGGTATATATAGAAGGTTGTTAAAATGAATGAGCAATTTTATTATTCATGTACAAGTTACTAAAAGAATTCAGATGGAAAGCAAATATGTAGTCTACTTTTGTCAAATGCTCGGATGTATTTAAGTCTGTATCTTCTATTGCACCAAACTACGCGACTGAGGGTTTCTCATTTTGCATAATAGTTGGGAGGAGGGGGGTTCTGGATTCGAATATCGATTCGGAGGTCCATATCCTGTTCAAATTCTTGGTGCTGTTCATAAGTCCCTCCATATTAAAGATAGGATAATGCCTTAAAATAGACAATCATCACTTCCTTCTACAATATTCCCAATTAATTGCCGGTTTTTAAATCACTGTCTTACTAAACATTGTTTTATAACTTAAGCAGTTGAGAAATCGATACATAAATGATATGAACGTTCTGGTGTTACAAAGTAGGCTATACCAGTATCTTTACCTTCCAGCATACAGACGGACAGACGAACAAACAAAAGGACTGGTCGATTGTATATTATATGTTATGTAAATACATCTTTTCGGCTGCAAAGGAGATTTGGCGTATAATGAGATGGGAAAATGACGAATGGTGAAGCGCCCATGACAACCGATATCCGGGCCGAGATTAGAACCGGATATTTTCTGAATACAATTCGGAAGCGTTGTCGCTACGTTAACCTGTTAAAAATTGGAAGAACTGACGTACGTGTAGAACGGATACAGGATCATTACTTTGGACAACGTGTTGCAATCAAGGCTACTGAAGACGCTTCCGTGATGTTTTATCAACGATGTTGATGCGCCACTGTTATTCTTGTGATATTTTCCATTCCCTGGAGTCACCAGCGGTTTATGCAGTGTTATTAAACGTACGTTTACGTGACGTCACGAAGAAGGAGGGATGGTGTATCTGCTCCAGTCTAGATCGTCACTTCAGTTCGTCTTCTTACCTGATTCAGTTCTGGAGTTGCGATTGGCTGCAAATACAGGTAGGCAGTGAACCTTCGCTGTGCTGAACTCTGTTATTTATAGTTTTTCCATGATTGTTTGGCGACTACGACAAATCACGTATTTTAGTATAAAAAAGATTATTATTATTTGGTATTATCATTGTTGATTGTGATATCTGTTGTCAGAGGATCGATTTAAGTGTGTAGTCTACATAAGCCTAATTCCAATACGCAAACCTCCACCAAAAATGCGTACTTATTAATTAACCTGTACACTGTTACTTCCTATCAATGTTAAATATAAGAACAGATGTGATGAATGGTGTTAACTGTTCCACGGGTGAGAACACATATGGACCGTATTCAAACAAACTCTGTAGACAAGCTCCTGTCTAGGCTAATAGAGAAATGATCTTAATTTAAACTTCGATTTATTCTAGCAAAAGTACGTTTTAAAATAAAGTTTATTGAAATAATGAAATTGCTAGTTTATTATGACAGTATTTTTAATATTATATTAGCATTGACTAGAGTATTATTATTTACTACCGTGGTATCGCATAATGATCGTTTTATGTTTTGAACTCTTACCAACCAAACAAACAGCGAATACATAATTCGCTTTATCACCGTAAGCCGTTCAAGTTCCTTTAGTAGGCAGACCGGAGGCGAAGGAACGAGGACACGACGGAAGGATTTTGTATTGAATCTATGGTGTATATGAAGTATAGGACGTGCTGCTTCTCAGGAGCATCAGTTGGTATGGGCGCGGCAGGGAAGCTGCTTGTTGTGACCCTGGTCGTAATGTCCAGCACTGCTGCAGAAGAGTCCCAAGACCATTCTTCTCACAAGAGACATGCTGTGAATTCTCTGAACAAGCTACTGGACTACATGCTCCAGCCTCGTAGTGTGGTCGGGGACATGATATTCGGAGTCGTTATGGCTAGAGGTAGTCCCAAGTATTTGAAAGTGTCGTTACACTTTGTAAGAAATACAGGATACACACATATTACACATTTTTTTCTGTAGGTCAGCTTGCAGTTTTGAGAAGACATATGATTCAGAGTCGTGGAGGCAAGACGAGGTTACAAGATTTATCCACAGTGTCGCTCCTGGAGCAGAAGTGTGAGCGAGTGTACAAGGAGTACGTGCCCATTAGAGTGCGGTCTGAGACTGATCATTATGACAGAAGTGAGTGAGCATGTCTGGCACCCTTTTTTGTGGTACAGCGTTTTCCCACATGTCTGCACCAAGATTTGTTTATAAATGTCTTATTTTGCCCAGTCCGTGTCGGTACAAGACGATTTTCCATTTTCGGGGCTTGTTCAGGTTACGAACCGTCTGTGGGCTGTTATGAACTTAGAGTTCCATCATGGGGGGTGGGATTTTTTAGCCATCTGAGGGTGTATTAGGACTGTTGTATGGAGGAGGGCGAAAATATGTTCGGTCATAGAAGGAAGAGGAAATATCCAATATTATGGAAATTACATGGCTCAATTTTTGTCACGTAACTGATAAATTGGAGATTTCAGGATTCTAGTGCGGTTTAATGCTAATGTGGATGTTTATTTAGCCTCATCCAACGGATAGAACAGATTTCTACTCTCTTGACCGAACATGAAGACAGAGCCAGTTACCGAAACGTAGTCAATTTTAGAATTCTGATTTTATAATTTTTAAATAACAGCTAAAATGGGTACACAGAAGCCATCGAACTAATCAAACACCCTCTTGATGGAACGCCAACACTCAGCGCGGCTTATCACCGACAGCCATACAGTTATTTGACGTTGTGATAACATTCTGTCTCGTGACATAATTCCCTCGGTTACAGTCATGGATAACATCGTTAGAGAAGAGCTGTGGGAAGTGGACTATCCGTTAACGTTGGGGAAATTGCGGAAGGTTCCTGAACGTAGCTTCGACAAGAGGGTACCTCATGAAAAACCATACAATTTCACCATCGGACAAAGACTGGCAATGTTATTAAGTGGTCGGCCAAACGAAATGCAGTCTGACCACTGCATAAGTCTACTGGTGTCCCCAAAGCTGTGTGGGACCAGCCCCACATGCTGGGACATCATGACGAGCAAAGACGAGGAAACTCATGGTTATTCCCTTACACACAGATTGCTGTACTTACAGATCGCTAGACAGGTGAGAGGACTAATGATAACAAGAGTACGTATGCACTCGGTCTCCAGTTGTCTTGATGATCATTAATTGCACGTACGGATTTCATTTTTGCAAAGCTGTCACATTGTAGCTGTTTATATTTTTTTGTTACAAATTGATAACAATACTTTGCAAGGAAAAATATTCCTAACAAAAATTACATGTGTTAATTGTAATTACATTCGTGCTTCACGCAGTTTTCCTATGATGAGTAAATGAGAAAGTTTGTTATACAGTATACGGTATCCTATATATATATATATATATATATAGGCCCTATTATGTGAATGTTAATAAAATATTTCACATAATGTGAAAAGAATCACAAGTTGACAGAAATGATTTAAAATACAAATATGGTTCAAGCTACGTCTATGTCATCTGACTAACTTATGGATCCATGGAATGTAATAAAGATGTATGTATGTATTGTGTTTTGTGAACTTTTCAGCATTTGCTTTATACATTTTCCCCATAAAACTGGTGTAAGTTTTTTGACATTAATATATTGCCTTTATAGCAATATGTAGCATTCGTTCATAACTTTATATTTTAATCACCAGTACTATAATAGTATTAGAATATTTATAATCACAATTATTTGATTCATTCTCGCGAGTACATCAAATATCCAACGTAATAAAGATTTACAAAATATTCATAATTATGGTTAAAATATAAGATTGTAAAATTTTTCTGGTATTTATTTCTGCATTTTATTGTCTTTCAGTTGGGTTGTGGCAACCGAGCTGAATTTGCTGACACAGACGCATCAATAAGGAATCTGTGTTCTGACATTTTAGTGGAGTTGTACCGTATTATCGAGTTGAAAGTACCCGTGGGATTCAGGGACCTGTTCCTTGAACAGAGTACGTAAAATACTCCCTTTTAGAAACGTAATAGCACAGAATGAGCCTAACACCTTGTTTCAACTTCTTGTATGTGTGTATAAAGTTTGGTAGTCAGATGTTTGCCTAAGCACCAGGCAAATAAGGCGTATAGGGAGCTATCATCTTGACGCTTACCGTCGTTAGAATCTTAAATCTAACAAATTAATTCTTTCCTAAAATATTCGAATTCTTGTTGTTGAGGAAATGATAATTCCCTGAACAAAGGTTTTCCCTCCAGTCTGCCGTTTTCGCTACGTACAACTTTAACGCTCAGTGTTCCCTTTCTGACAGTCGGTTTGTGCGGAATGGAAGGGTTCGCGGAGTTCCTGAACCCCGTCTACATGAACTGGATATTGCCGCTGCAGACCCCATCGGGCTGCTTTGCCGACAAAATTAGACACGGGTAAGTACAAGTATAGTCTCGTGGAAGAGAGAAATTCCCACTTGTTAGGTACATTTCGAAAAACTTCGTACACAATAGGCATGTAACGTATTAGTTTCATTCAAAAAGCGCCGAGAAGGTTTGCATCCCAATAACATGCTGGAAAAGAAAGAAAAGAGAAATTCCGAATTGTAAATAGAATAAATTTCGAATGTTTAATATAATCCCTTGCAAATTAAACAAGTGACATTTTTATTCAAGATGGCTGGATGCGTTGACCAAGTCTCCTTCCTCTTTCCGGCTAAAGCGAGAAGATGGTCTTCTACAAGAAGATGGTTGCACAATGCATATCACTGGATTGGCCACCTTTTTCCTAGCTCTCAACATCAGAGCAGCCACAGAGATTTGGAATACTAGCGTTCCTATCTCGCCTGTCTATAGAAAGTGAAATTATACACACATTTCCAGTCTATGTATTGCACTGTTCTCTAAAACATTTGAAAATTTTAGAAACGACGGAATTTTATCTAAAGATTATCAGGCATCAGAAAACAAAGCGCAGAGTATTAACTACATTGACTCAAAAATGGAAATCAGACAAAGCATGAATACCATTGCTGATAATACGTTTAATCCACTGTGGCCGTCAATGTTTATCCCTAAGAGGTCACAGACATAGTTGACCTCTGAATAATCCGAAATAACCGTAAGCTAATGAAGGCAATGTTCATCCTTTACTACGTTTTCGTATTAGAGTTTTCACAGAGGCACAGAATGAACTCAAAAGTGCTAAATAAAAATATAACAGGCTATGTCGCAATATTTTGAAATGAATTTTTGGATTCGTAGTGAAATTATGTTTCCCAGTAGCCATATTAGCCATGAAATAACGGATATATTTTCAGTGGAACAATTTAGTTTGGGCGTTAGATGTATTTACAATGTTAAAATTGTGATTAGGGAGAACTTTCTGCAATTTGAGTGATTTAGCGGAAGCTCTATAAGACTGCCTTGAGAGGTGTGGCATAAAAATGAAATATCTGCAAGGACATAACTACGCTTCTGCTACGAATGGAAAGTTTAACGGCAGGCCGATACAAAATACGTCATAATGAAAGCACCCACATGCAAGTCACGTCCTCTGTCTTCCCTGTGGTCTAAAGTGGCAGTAAAATTTTGTGCTATACCGGAACGCGGGCATATATTTAGGTATTCTTCCTTTGTGTCACTGAATTCGAAATCGTTGTGGCTAAAGTGGCCATTTTGGTTCGTTTATCTAAATTGAAAATAATCGAGATATATAGAGATATTTTCCTCGATCTAGAATTTTCTAAACGCGCTTATTTTCAGTGTGAAGTAGTGTACGTTGATTGTTGATACTGTTGTGTTGTCAGGTGTTTAAAAGGAAGACAATGACATTAGCAAGATATCAATACGAAAAGGTAAGGTTTCTACAGTCTTAGTATAAAAGCATCCTGCTGTGTGCTTTATTAAAATACGTTTTACATTTTACTTATTTATAGGTTAATGTAGGAAATTACATGGATGAAAACCAGTTCTACATGAACCAGTTATTGAAAGTGGCAGCCAGTTTGTCAAATATTACAATAAATGTTTATACCCAACCACAGGTCTAGTCAGGACTTTGGCCAGTCTTGGAAGTGGTTGCCAATGTTTTGGAGGTACCTATCTCCATTTCAGGATAGGGAAGGTAAGTCCAAGATGTTGGTAACCACCAACAAGACTGCAGAGTGTCAAAATGTAGAAGACTATAATCCACAATATAAAAAACATTTGAACATCAAAGCGAAAGGGACAACATCCAAACTGCTGGACAGGAGATGCCTTATACGTGGTGTACTTGCAGGTTCCTGCCAAACTTGCAGGGAATGTTCCTTGGGTAGTCAAAATTACCAAACATCCCCCAGATTATAGGTTATGAGAATGATTTAAAAAGAACATTCCCTAGTGGAATGCCAGTTTATTTACCAGAACTACTGAGATGGAAAAAATCATCGAAAATACACAACAATTGAGTGCGTTCTTTTTTTGTTTTGTTTTTTAACATGTATAAAATAATTTATTATTGGTCATTTAAAAATCAAATGCATTTCTTATTGCTGACTTGAAATCTGTAGTAAGATTTCTGTTGATCTGTTATTTATAGTGTCACAGGTTGTTTAACAATGCTCTAATGAAGATCATGTAATTAAAACATTAAGACAATTATATGAATAGAGGCAATTCAGTAAGAATGGGAAAGTAGTAGTTATGACAAATATTGAAGTACTCTCCCTTCTGTTTATTTTAATTAAAATATATCAAAACCATAATACAATAAAAATATATAATTTATTTTATCTGTACACAAAAATAGATTTTGCAGAATACATTCAAACATATATATATACACACACAAAATCGCAAGGTGAGATAGATAGATCTACATTTACAGTAAGTTGTCATGTTTATATTAAACTGTAACTTCTCTGCAAAAGTAGATGCTTAACATTTTAATTCACTGTGTTTCCATTATGTCAAACAAATGAAAATACACAATTAATATAAACAGACACTGACTAGTGAAATATTATCTTAAATGTAGTCTGTGAAAATAAATTGGTGGATTAATAATAGGTATTATTGCAAAAACTGAGACAGGTACTGCATTCATGTTGGGAATAGCTTATTAGGTCATGTACTGAACTGCCAGGTACTGCACTGGTTGGAAATACCTCTACTTTCTGATTTGTCAGTTGTAATATGTTGATGATAATGGGATTTATGGCATTATAATTATGAAATATTAATAACAACATTGAATTAACATTAAGTTCTAGAACTACAGTACATTCACTTTATGATGTTTCTTGAAGAAAAACCCAGTTTCTGTATTCAGGATCTTAGTATATTGCTAAGAGAAGTCAAACAAAAACCAAACTGCCCTTTTAACATAGACAAATCAAGTATAGAATGGGCAATAATTTGCATATCGGTCTTTGCTCATCCAGAAGCCATATTACAGAGTTGATATATTATTATTTTCATTATAGCATTTAAAACAACTTTAAATTAATTTTTAACAATGACTAGGTTTACTCTCTCAATTATCTCAGTGTCATATACTGACAGTTTATTAGAGAAATCTGACTACAGCAACCAAGTATTGAAGTATTTCTTGAGCAACCAGGACTATTCCATTGAAAGTATTGTGGCACATTACGCACATATTCTTCATGTGTAATAAAATCTCAACATACCTATTGTTGGAATTATAAACATAGAGCCCCTGTTGCTTTACACATGTTTGAAGACATTAGCTAAGAGTGTTAACCTCTACCAACAGTACATCGATGCTTCACATGCAGTAGCATATTATTAACTTGTTAAAACACATAGTTACAGTCCAACTGGCAGCCTTTTAGTTTGAGGTCTTAAAATCTCATATACCTGTATGATAAAAGTTAATAATCAAATGTGCCATTATTAGTGATGATAAATGTTATTAAATAGTTGTTGGACTTGGGATACTGTTTGTAGAATAAGTAACACATTCATTTTTTGGTAATTTCTCATGTATTGCCCCTGAATATTTTACTGACTGCCCATGTTATATCTTTTCGTTGTTATACTATTAGTTACCATTTTAGGGTCAACCATATACATAAGTTGTATGGCACGTTTCAAGTCTTCAGGAGTCAACACGTTGTTCTAGACAGCACCTTTTTGCTAGTATTGCAGACAGCTTTATTCCACACTATTGTATGTATATTGATTAACACCTCAGTGTTGGGGTTCCTCTGTGCGCTGATTTATCGGCGGTATGGTACCTTACCGTATGTCCCACGGTGAGACTCTTCTACCAGCAGTTGATAGTAACTCAGTACCACTAACCACAGGTAGACCACCAAAGCTGTTATCAAGGTAACAGTGAACATAATTAAAGTTGTGTTAATTGTATGTGTGATTTAAGCCTTAAACTTTATGATTTACTGGAGTAATAAGTTTCATTACAATACGTTACTTACAAAAAGAAAATATATAAAAGTCATAACTTGTTTAATGTCGCTTTATATCTGAAGTATAGACATTGTGCATCACATAAACATAATTGAAATATACGATTCTGAACCATTTTTAGCAGTCGGTTAGCTGTTATTAAAAATCAGAAAGCCAACTAGCTGTAAACGATGGAAAGTTCATGTTGTGCATCTTTTTCAGTGCTGCCTCCTCTGAGTAAAATTACCTTTACTCTTAGACTTTCCCTTTGCATATATAAATTGCTGATATACTTACCAACGCCAATAAGTCCAAACACAAGGACTAATGTTGCAAATGTATCATAGTTTGTATTGTAAAGATCTACTACTGTCCAGATGATTGAAATGAGTCCACCGATTGCAATCATGATAGACAGCATTATCCATGGCAGCATCAAGAACTTGTTGCGCTGTAACAAACACAAACTCTCAAATGTGCTGCGTACACATTTACAGAATGAGATTCAAATTCAACACAAAGTACTGATGATATTACTGTCAATTGGTTAGCAGAGCTTAGTTCAATATATTTTATGTTTTTCAGTATCCTGTCTAAAAGCTTACAAATTAAAATATACAAAATTGTAACTTATGCGTTGTTTTAATGAGTGTAAAACATGGTCCATCACCATACAGAGAGAACACAGATTGGGGTTGTTTGGGAAGAGGGCACCGAGGGGAATATTTCAACCTAAGAGTGAGGAAGGAACATAAGACTAGAAGGAAACAGCGTAATCAGTAGGATCATAATTTGAATTGAACAAAGTTTTCACATGCAATAAATAAGCCTTGTCAGGTGGTCATAAAAATCCAACATTTCAACAGCTGTCTCAGTGCTTATCATTAGCGACCTGATATCATACGTCTTATGATGATGTGAGACAGCTCTCAGAATGTCATTTTTACAGCCACCTGATGTGGCTTATTGCACATGAATACTTCATCGAATTTTGTCGCTGTGAAATCTGTATATAGATCCCACAAAATGTTAATAGAATGATCAAATAAAGGAGGATAAGATGGTTGAGGCATGCGGGTCGATTGGGAGAACTGAAAAATGCATACAGAATGTTAGTTTCATTTCTTGAAAGGAAGAGACTACTTGGAAGATACAGGTTTCGATGGAAGGATATAATTAAAGTAGATCTTAGATAAATAGGGCATATAGATGAACGTTGGATTTGTTTGGCTCTGGATATGTTCCTGAGGCTTTTTGGGAAGGACTTTGCTCCATGGAGTTATTAGTTTTCAGCATCAAATACAATTATGTGTGCTCATAGATGGCACTTTTGTTTACTCCATAGGACATGACGGGCATAATAGGGTGTGAACGTTAGATTAAAAAACTGAGTGGAACTTCTATAAGAACAAGTTTTCTTACCTTCACTGCTCCCCATATGAGCAGAATAGAAATGAGCACCGTCATTACCAGATTCAGCGCAATAATGATTTTCACTGAAACAATAATGTTATAAGTACAAACATAATACAGCACAACTGTGGATGGTGACTGCATTTATATGGCTGCCTGACAGGAGAAAAAGACTCGCTCTAAGGAAAAGAATAAAACAAATGCAAAGGAAACAATGGCAGACTTCTTCTGAATGTCAGTACATAGAGGGAAGAATGGACCACAGTAATTCTGGATTCAGTGCTGGAGAGAAGAATTTATGATGTCTTTCTGCCCTGAAGATAGAACCACTATGTTCCTCTGAAATGTTGGTACTCACCTACAAGTTTACAGATCCACGAACATGTACATTCAGCTTCAAATATCAGTGATAACAGGAACTTGCTGCGTAGCCCACAAGTTTCTAATGAGAGTATCCCATTACAGTGAACCAGTTCATGTTTCATGCTCAGTAATTGATAATTCTGCTTGTAAGGCACTTGACATCATGTGCCCATCATTCAAACTCATTCATAATGGAGAATGAATAACAGTAGGAAGAAAAAATGATGACAGCAACAATAATAATAATAATAACAACGACAACAACAGCAACGTTTAGTTGCTGGCAAAATTCCAAGGGAACATACTGGTAGAAATGCTGTAAATAGTTTCTTTTACTTTGTGTTTCTGAAATCATGTAAATTTGTAGCAAAAATGTAAGACACAATAAATGTAATACCATGACTTGACGACGATGGTGAAGAGGAGGATTAGACGAGCTTAATTCTAGCATAGCAAGGCTGCGTTATATTACATTGCCATTTAGATGGTTTAAAGATGGTACTTGGCTATCCAGAAATGCAAGACTTACCTACTTCTTGTGGCAATGTGTCAATGATGATTGTCTTCATTTTTATGTTCAACACAAGGATCAGAATCAGTGTTGGTATAGCAACTACCTGCAAGAATTCAAGATTAAGGACCTTTAAAACTGAATACAGATATTAAGAACAGTCATTGCTGATTAAAGATGATAAAGTGATATGACATTAATCAAATGAGAACTATCTTTATCAAATGTTTCAATTGAAAATTAAAAGAGACGAATAAAATGACAAGTTTAAAAAATGTTTTTGGATTCTCTGGGGCTCTTTGCCATGTCAGATTGAACATCTTTAGCATTTGCATATAATATCTGATAAACAAAGGGAGAGAAAGTAGAATGAATTAATGAATGCTCACGATGTGACATGAAGTGTTTCTTAATGGCAGTGTGAATGACAAGATCTGCTAATTGGTGTGCAAAGTCTGAGACTGTGTCATATGGGGTATAAAGTACTTTCGAGATGGCCAAGTCAAGGTTTTCTGTCACAGTGAGAGTCGTATTCTTCAGACGTACCACACCAAGGACTCCACTTATGATGGCTCCAGCTCTGAGCGAGCCACAACAGCAGCATTTGGTCAATATCGGCATTGTAGAGTTGATAACGCAGCAAGCAGCTCAGGATCTGTCTCAACACAGAGCAAAATCAGATATAGTACCAAGTAATTTGAAAGGAACAAAAAAATCTTGGAACATAGAATGGATACTCATTTTGGCAATAGTCTAACGTTGCTGTCAATTAAATTAAAGACAGTTGATGGAAGTTATGCTGTGTCCAAAAGGCAACAATATGTGAGATCAGTGCAATGCGTGTTATTGAAAGGAAATGGTTGAAAAATTGAGAATTGATTGAAAATATTTTAGTGAGTACCATCAGTTTTTCATTAAGTCCTGCTTCTTGACTCATCTCGTGGTGTGATCGTAACGAAAAGATACAAAAGGCGGCTATTAATTTAGTCATGTAACAACTCGAGAATCAATTAATAGATTTTAATTAAAGTTGATGTTGGGAAGTTTTAATGAAATTAGTCGACAAATTCTAATTTGGTAAAAATCAGTCAGCAGTAACGGACCTATGTGGGTGTCTGCACGCATCTCTAGAGTAACTCCGGATATTTTAATTAGAGCGAAGGCCTTTCGAACAAAAGAAAAAGATAACAATGATACACATTTTATTCCTAGTACAGTTTTCCCTCCAGAGTGATTTTCGAGATAATTAAAAAGGGGATATTTATGCTGTCGTTATCTCGAAATCATTGGTCTGATTTTTATCAGATTTTATAATGGCGGTTCTTACTAGCCGCCCCTGCATGAGCTTTGCCGTTTAGAAGACAGCATCAAATGGAATATAAATCTAGAGACAACAATAGAGCGAACACGCCAGAATTGTTACACTATGCGCACACTTATTTTGCTAGATTCCCATAGTGGAAACGGGGACGTAAAATGTGCATTTTCATTCTTCAGTCCAGTCTTTGTATAGATTTTAAAATGAAGGTTTTGTTAAACGTGTGGGTGACGCGAAGCTGCTCTTTGCAGGCTGTACCAAGCTGGCTTCTCTCCATACAGATACACGTCATGAGCTAAATTTGGCCACACCTCATTCGACCAAGTAACCCACTGATGCTGCTGGACCAAGGCCACTCTCAGTGGCAGGTGCACCCATCAAGAGTGCGTGGTCTGAAGATGCAACGTACAATCGCATTCACTGTTCAAAAAAAAAAAGGTTCTAGCTTATCGTCTTGCTGAGCTACGCTGTTTGAATTTCAGACATCCTCGGTTCCAGTGACATACTGTGTTCACACTGGTCGTACGAGACTAATTACGTCAGTTTAATATTGCGTCCAAAACAAGTTTTGCCTTGAGGGTACAGGATGCAGAATGATTTAGCAGCCAGCAAAATTAAACTAATGCAGTTATGACGCTTACATGCCGGAGTATCCAGTTCGTGGAATAAATAATGACCGCATCCTTGCAAATTCTTAACTCGTCGGCCGTATAGTTTCATCTATTTCTTACATAACATTTTATTTTATTTTATTCAGTGTTCTGTCTGACGACAGGTCCATATGAACAGGATCCTTCCATCCTTTTCTCGGACTGGGACCTGTTCATATACGTTCTTGGCAGATGATCCAGAAGTGGTTTGCCATTGCCTTCTTCTGTGTGTGAATGGAGTAATTGTTGGGATGCCACGGAGGAAAACTCCGTGTTGCCTAGACCACGGCCTTGCCCAACACAAGTTATAAATTCGGGCACCGCCGGGAATCGAACCCGAGACCCCCCAGGATTACAAGGCCAGCGTTCTAACCGCTAGACCACCGTGGCGGGGGACATAACATATAAAACAGTAATTGGTAATTTATTGAAGAATTTCAACAAAACAGTGTATCAATTATTGCCCCTGGCATGTTTTGTTTCACAGCCTTACCGTGCAACAGAAACCTCGTGTTGCGTTGTCACAATTATGTAACCTACGAGTTTAATTTTGCCCACTTCGTAAGAACCAAGTCATTTAGGTGACGCAGATGATCTAGCTAGAACATAGATTTCTCAGCCAGCGACCCTGCGTTCGTTTCCCTTTCATTTATTCTGTCACTTGTGATAAAGCTCTGATTGGGAAGGTTTTCTAGTTCTCTACGTCCTTTCCCATTTATTCCACCACCTCACATTGTTTATTCATAGCCATCAAAATTATCGGTGCTGTGATTTCAGTACCTCAAACACACAGCAGGTCTGACTGCGCAATTGTTTTGTTCACGAATAAAAAAGAAAGACTTCGCCCGTAAGAGTTAAAAACCAGTAAAGGGGTTACATTTGATTCCCTAATCTCGCCATCGACTTTCAGAATTTTTGTGCAAGACTGGCACTTGTACGCCTCAGTCCTTATTTTATGCACTCCGTTATTGTTTATTTTACGATCTTAAAAAATTATTAAGTTTTAATATCGCAGATATTTTTATACGGGTAACGCTGCGTTGTCTGCACCTACCTTGTCTTTTTACACTACTTCAGACGAACGGAGCTACCGTAATGACTGAACAAACACCGCCATATGTCAAGGTGACCGAGAGAAAAAATGAGAAGGTGTTGATGATGTCGGGCACTTCTGACAGAACTGAAGTGTATAAACAGAGACGTACGAAACGTACGCACAGTATGACGTTCCCTAACCAAGCGGTCCTTAAACGGAATTAATTTCAGCCTTGCACAACAGCTGAATAACGATGCCCGACATTTTAACATTTTGGTATTGTTTCGTGTATGTGACCCGGAAAACAAAGCGATAGAGTCCATTTCTCAACAGAAGTGGGTGGGTTAGCATTCCGGTAACAGTATTGACGATCAAATTGATGACATCACGAGAATTCCTGCACCCCGGCAGATGACGTCATTGAAGGCAACAAGAAACCGACACACGTTGCCTGATGGCCTACTTCGGCGTTCTACGTAGACAGAGGTTGCCATACATGGTCGTCGAAGGCCTCATGCATGCTGTGTTTTGATCTACGCCGCCGAACAGTTGATTTAAAATAATGTTCACAGTAACCGATGAATGAAGCACTCGATAGCCATACATTTTGACAAAATACGTACATGCCCTTTGACTTCATAAATCAAATGAGATGGGAAAATGATGTATGGTGGGTAGGCAAGGGTTTGAAAGGAGACGACCAAGACCACTGTCAGGGTATTTATTTGGAGAGATTTAAGATAACCACGAACAAACTCAGTTTCCCCCGTGGTAGAGATTCGAATCGTATACCTCGCGAAGGCTTGTCCAGATCTAAAAGGTGAACTGGCATGGTATCAATGATGGCAGTTTAACTTGGTATTATATTTTTGTATTACGAATACAAGATTAGGCGTACCAGATATGGGAGAAATATTTTGCGGAGACTGAAACTCATGTTGATCTCTGTGTCGTATCTGTGTGGTTCAATGCTCGTGACAGGGATAAATCTCAACCCCCCTCTTATCACCTCACTAAAGAGTTTCAGTAAAACGCATCATGATTAAAAACTAACTTGAAGATGGCCGAGTTCTGGGTTGTTGCGCCGTGTAGTCTGGTAGAAGTCTACCAACGCTTCAGACGTGCTTGCTGCCTCTATCATCAGGGCGACGATTTCTCGTCAGATTATACGACGCAACAACCCAGAAGACAGGCATCTACGTACTCTCCGCCGGAAGAACATGAAGTCTTGCAGAAACAGATTTGTTCTCTTCAAGACTCATTGAAGTACCAGAGGTCCAATATCACGTATAGAAATTTATATTCTGGTGGCCGTTTTACCTCCTAATTACAGTCTACGCAAGGTATAAGCAGGATGACCTCTGGAATTGCTGGTGAAGCTAGTCTTCTGAAGCTGAGAAACGGAGAAGTGTGGATTGTGACCGGAGCACATTGACGAAAATGCAATTAATCTACATCATTGTATCACTTTGGGCGGATTGGGAACAGCGAATCTGTATTTACACGAGGAACGGGAAGTATAAAAAACTCTACAATATCAAAACATTGTAATTATAAGGCTCACAAAAGAATAAAATCGATTTTACTTAACATGTGAAGGAAATGAAAATTTTAAAACGACGACGTGAGAATTTACAACTCTGGACACAATATTTCACGGCGTGGTGGTTAAATATATGCTTTCTATTCGGAATGCACTGCTTTCGAATCTCATTCTGTTAATAATTTTTGTTTCTTTTTTATTCGTGAATTTTGTTGGCTGATCGCGTGTGTACGGCCACTGGACCACAGACCTCCTGTTACCTCCATTGTCCTACAAACTAGGATGGCCGGTATTTGCATGATAATTTTGTTTTTATCATGATTTTAAATGTTTAATAATTGTATTTTTGAACTTATCAAGACTCTTTATCCGCTGTTGGTCCAAGATAAATACTGACATCGTACTTGAGAAACTTGTAACGTAATTGGAATAATCTTATGGGAAAGGAAGGGTTGTGGAAAAAGACTGGTAGCAGGAAGAAAGCACGGAATTAGGTACCCAAAGAGCGAAGCGTTCAAAGAATACTATTCACACGCCGGAAACAGTATTTTGAGGTCGGTACAGGCAGCAAGAGCACAATCCTCGAAAACAAGACTGATTCGGCGCATTCAGATTTCCGTAATATTTAACTCCTATCGTTTGTCGTTTCGAGAAAATCTAAAATTTGCGATATTAAAACGGAATCGTCTATTTTGGGACTCTGTTCGGAAATTTAAGTTTTTGAGAATTCAAAAGGAAGTTAACACTTAAGAGCTGTCAGCAGCTTGTTTATTGTCTCACCTGTGTTGAGTTCTTCGCTCCTTCCCAATGCTGCCTGACGCAAAGCTACGCGGGGACTGACCACACAAACGGGATTCCGACGGACTGTAGGCCGACCTTCCCTCCCGCGATCACCGGGCGGCTTCGAACTGTGAGGTTGGCAGCACCAATGTTCGTGCCGCGCCAATTTAAAAATTCCCTGTCTTGTGGAACCTGAAGATACATTACCACCAGTTTGTTCTTTAGCTAGCTTAACTCAGGTAGAATGCATTTATTTATATCGCAGTACCATTACGGCGATCCGTTGGTACGTAAGTGCATCTATGTTAATGTTATACCCATACCTACGCTTAAGGCGTACAAGTGGATTTTCTTCCCTTAATATTTTCCGTAGAACTTTATAAGCATTTCTCTTCGCCCTCATGTGCGCCCACCTCGTCTTCGCTGTATGATGCATCTCCTCAGTGCCCTGTTTTCAGACTCCGCTTAGTCCATGTTCTTACGTTTCACACGTATAATAATTTAGACAGCGTCTTTAGATACTGTGTTAGCTAAAGGTTATGATCTCTTGCACAGCCGGATACCTGTCAGTAGGACAAATGTGTCTGTTAATACCCGGGTGTGTTTTTGTTTGCGATGTGGGAATCCATCTTGATAAAGAAAGCCGAATCTTGCCCCGACGGTGACGGCGGTGGGTCTCAGGAACGCGCCAGTCTGCCACTCCATAGCAGCATCGCATGCAGCCAATCGTGAGTGAGTGGTCTTTCTTCTTTCAGCAAACAATATCACTGCAACACTGTATCACAGGCAAACATTTGCCAGATACATTCATAATTATCTGAAAAAGAGGATGCTTTAATATCATCATCAACTTCGCTTTAGAATAAACCACCAGGAACGCCCAGGAAAAACAGGGATTGGAATCGAATAGGACGCATCAGGTTCTGGTCTGATTATGTTCATTTACTGGGTGAAAACGGTAAAGTAAAGATGCTAGTAATGAAGTTGATCTTGAAGTAAATGCAGAGGAATGTAAGTAGGATATGTTGATGTGTCTTTGCCAGCCGACAAGATATAACCACTGTATAGAGGTAGACAATAAATCTTTTGAAAATGTGGCAATGTTTAATTATTTGGGAACGGCTGTAAAAATCAAAATTTCATTGTGGGTTCTTGTGACTGAAATGAACCTTCTTGTTCTATAAAAAGGCGGGCACTTTCTTGAGTGAGTATAACAACTATCAGTTTTTAATGAATGACTCTTCTCGATGTATATTCTGTTCTTCTTGCTTTTAATCATGCTTCATCAACATCGTCGAATGACGGGTGGCTCTGTACAAAGACGATGAGTTAGGAAATTTCGAAATTATATTTTGTACATTTTTTGTCGCCCTCACATCTTCATAACCGTAGTTATCAGAGTGATTATACTTATGTCACGTTGAGGTCAATGTTAGGCTAAGGTCATGGCAAAGTCAGGGCAAAATCACAAAGATAGTTTTTCTGATACAAGCTTTTAAAATTCTCAAGTTCGTATATTTTCACGGTTATTTCTGACAAACCGTAAATATCTGGTTGACCATACTCATGCACAGATGCGAACACATATAGGTCAAGGTCATATGGAAG